ATTGCGCTTGCCGCTCTTGGATAGATAGCCCGACTTGACGACCTCGTGCTGTGGTTGCTGTTAGCATTTACTGTAGAATGGGTTGTAGGTAAGGCAAGGAGAGTACGCACCGCCTTCTTGGGAAGGTAGGCATAGAAGCAGATGTGCTTTGCCGTGATGTACATGTAACCCTGGAGTAATACGCTCTGGAGCAACCAACAAGGGTATTCTACTGCGTATTAGCTGAAAGCGCTCATTGCCGGCGTGGCATTATTCATCAACATACCCTCAATGACAGCTTCGGGATGGTCAAACTCAAAGATGTCCTGCAGACGGCGCGCCAACGCAGTGGAGCTTGAATCAGCAGAGTCGCTGTAGTTCAGCTGGTCGCTAGACCGGCGGTCGACGTCGAAGCTGGGTCTCGCGGACATTTCGGCTTTTGCCTCGAGCATCCTGCTCATAACGGGGGCGAGACGGTGGCCGTCTTGGTCGTCGTCTTCTCTTGTATCATCGACGGGTTGGGACGGAGAGGCCTCGGAGGTGTCGCTAGCTTCCTCGGAGGTGGGCTCCAGCTTGGAGGTCTCCTTTTTGGACTTGTGCCGTGGCAGACGTGGGAGCGCCGGTAGCGATCGGAGGAGCTTGGAGCCGGAGATCTTGCGCCGGTGTTTCTCGGTCTTGGAAGACGAATCCTTCTTGAGGACGGTCGTCTTTGACAAGTCGGAGTCGTTCTGGCGGCGCTGTTTGCGATGCAGGAGGTGGCCGATGCCGTGTACCTTGTCGTCACCAGCATCCAACTTATCGGCGCCGTGACGGCGAGTGGGTTCGTCCTCGTCGGCGCTCTCCTCGTCGCTGGATTCAAAGCGATCGTGGAAGTCAACTCGTGAGCCGGCAGCAGCAATGAGACCGAAGATGGACTGGTTCATGTTCATGAACATGGGCGGGCCCTGCTGCGGTACCAGATCCTCCTCTCTACTATCGTCGCCCTCCTTTAACCTTTCGGGCAGTTCCATCGTCGGGGTATTTGATTCGTGCCGCTTCTTCTGTAACTTCTTGCCGACGCGCTTCTTGACATCGTCCTCGCCGAAGCTGACGCTCGCGGCGCCAGCTGGAGCGGGCGACGCCATCGCTATCGGGGTGTTGGGTCGGTGGGAGGCAGTCGAGCGAATGGTAGGTCGAAGGCTACCTTGATTAGGTAGGACTTCTTATGTGTTGACGACCTCTTTGTCCGGGCGACACGGGAGGTGGAGAGGCGGGGAAGGCGAAAGACGATACTGCGGCAGCGGAAGCGTCGCACTGGCGGAGAGGAGGGTGGCAGGGTGGAGGAAGATTCGTTTGGCTACAGCGGGTTCATTCGGGCGACGACGATAAGGTTCGAGTTCGCGGGAGGGTTACGGAATAGAGGACAAGGCAAGCCGGGGCCAAGGTCTGATGGCGATAAAGTACAGAGTTAATGGTCAGGTAAGGAAAGGTAAGGTAAGGTAAGCAAGGTGAGGTAAGGAGGGTATCCGTGGGTTGGGCCGTTGGTTTGGGATGAAGACGGAGTGGCAGCCAGAGACACGGCGGCAACCTTGAAGGATGTACTGAGTAAGAGACGGGAGACAAGACAAGTTGAGGAGGGTAGCACAAAGACAAAGAGTCAAAAGGGTTAGGTAACCAAGGCACAGTACTTTAGCTAGTAGGTAGGTAGTAGGTAGGTAGTAGGTAGGAGAAGATAGCACCAGGCAAAATAGGTCTTGGGACTGAACTGAGGACAGTGGAATAGGTGCCTCGTTGATCTGATGGGAAATGGAACAGTTCAATGAAGGTTATTGCTGCGCCTGGACCCCGGAAAAGACGGAGACTGGGGTGGACAATTGACAGTCGTCTCCAAGGCTACCACGAGGTGAGGGTCATTGATACCTCGCAGTTTTAAGAGTGAAAGTACAAGGGGAAAGGCGGCAATTTCCAGTCAGATAATGCAGAGTACAACCAATAGGAGACAAAAGCAAAGGGAACGAAAAAGAAGGGAAAGAAGAGCCCACTTGCCATTCATTTGTTAGGCAGTTTGGTCCCGTCGCATTCGCACCAGCTATCCGTACGTACGAAGTACTCCGTAAGGTGTTACACGTTCGACCTGGAGATAACCGGGAGCAGCCAGTCGGACAGTCCTCTTCAGTCAGAATGAGACGAATGTCTTGAAGAGACTCATCATTCTCTCACAGTCTCACTTGCCTCTCATTGTCTTCTCAATGTGCACTAGCAGCACCTTAGCAGCAGCTGGACTCCCCCAAGTTCTGTGCGCAGCTGCACGCGATGCTGCGCCAAAAGTACGCGCATTTCCTCCTCTCTACCCGTACCTTGTGGGCCTGAGATGCATGGGTGCTTTCTCTCAGGGGTCCAGTCATTCCTCTCACTTTCTCTCTGTTTGCTTTCCCATTGGACCGGTGTCTTGAAAGGAGTAGGCTCACGAGCAATCTTTGGTCGCTCCAGTGTCTGATTGCATGAAGCTTGTGATGGCCCATGGCCCCTGCCTGCCTCTGCCTCTGCTTACCCAGTGAGTATCCGTCTATGAGCCTCTGACCAGTCATAGAATAGGCAGGATATGTTGTAACTCATCTCCTCTTCTGACTCTCTTCAGATTCATCAGCAAGAGATGAGTGTGATGAGCAAGATGAGAGGCAACAGATCAAAGGAAGAGAAACTGGCGCCGTGGGGGCCCACAAGTACAAAGGTACAAAGGTATAACCTTGAGGTAACTGCAACCAAGTCCCCTGTGGATCCCCGACATATCCCACCCCTCCCATTGGCCTCAGATCAAGCTTGCTTATCGATAAGCCTCTCTCATGACGCCAAACTGCCCCATCCGGGTCCCATCACAAGATCTCGACAAAAGACATGGATTGCCATGTGAGCCGACCAGCCTGACCTCGCTCCCGTCAGACCCGAGGCACACAATACTCTCGACTCATAATCAGCCATCCCCCTCGGCGGAGGCATCCGCCGGAGCACCAATGTGTATGACATATTGTGTGACGGGAAAACTGGGTATATTGCACTGCATACCCAACTACTAACCAACCGAACTCCGATTATTATCCCCCTTCATTAACTTTCGCCCAACCTTTTACCGCGTAAGTATACCCGACCTTCCGCCGCTTCCAGCCCTACGCCTAAATAATAACTTTACCTACTCTAATATATATAAAAGCTCTTAGTACTAGCGCATATAAATAGCTAGATTTAATATAATAACTTCTTTTTCCGTTAAAGTTTATAAACTTTTTGAATAATATTTTTTTATAATACAAAATATCTTTATAAGGTTAATTTTATAAAGCATAACTCTAAAATTGATATTAAGTTATTGAATTTTGATATTCTATTTAATATAACTAAGTTAACTAACTATTTATAATATTTATAATCTTTTTTAATTAAATAGTTACGATATTTTAAAAACAGTTCTACTTAGAATATTAATTAAAATTCTAAAACTTATACTTAATTAGTACTCTAAATCTAGTTTTCTGTAACTTAATATAAGAAATAAATATTAATATCATAATGAATATAAGGGCTACAGATGTTTCATAAATATATTTAGACTCATTGATTTTCCACAATTTAAATGATATATTTATAAATTATAAATACAGGTATCATATGAGTTAACTGCTTAAGAAGTTACATGGTAATAAGAGGCTCAACTGAAGTACGTATCTACTGAGATACAACGCTTTGTACGCACGTACAGCCCGAACGTAAATACACTTTACATATACATGTTAAAGCGCCGACAGGCACATATGTCGTATAAACTTAATGCTCGGACTTAAGCATCACATATGATTACATGTGATTACATATAATTACATGTGATATTTATATTATATATAAACTACACTTTTTCACTATATCATAGAATAATCATCAATACGATCAACTCTCTGATTATCCCAACTCGTATCTCAACTTATTTACCTTTTTCCTTTTTGCCTATCTCTAACCTCTTATTACCTTTACCGTTAACTTTAGTAGTCTATATCGTTATATAAGTATATAATTTTATATATCTTTAGTAATTTACCTACATATATTGTAGTATATTTTCTAGAATAAAATTATTATATTGAATTAAGTGCGTATATAAGATATATTATGTACATTATATAGTTAAATTACGTACTATATTATATAATTTCCCTTGAAACCTTATCCCGTTAAGGTTGATCTTTTGCGCCTGTAAAGCTGGAAAAAAACCACCACATTATCAGCCATTAGCAGATGCATATCGAGATCACTCATTATTCGCCTTCAACCGACGTTGATGTTCACTATTGAGTGGCCAAATACAGTCGATAGCTGCTGTCACTCACCTGAGCTCAGACTCACCCACAGACCCAAAACCAAGGGGAGAGTGAGGGGACCAAGCCTAAAATGACATCAGCCCAGAGTGACCGCAAACGACACTCTGTGGCCTCTGCCCGAGCACTGCGATTCGCATCGCGGGGGCATACCAGATCTGCCCCATATCAAGTCTCCTCTTTTGTTGAGAGCCGCCGCCAAAGCTATCCGATTGAGAAAAACAACAAACGAAGTAGAAGACACATTCAACATCGTCGAGCTCAATGTTTACTATTATCTGAAAAGAATTTTCGAGCGAGATGGACCATGCTGTGGTGGGCCTGTAGCCCTCCCATGGAATATGCTCAAGTGAAAGACTGATGTTGAATCTGAATAAGCCCAAAACAATAAATAAGAACACGAAGCACTTGACATCCGACTTCAGCTCATTTGAACTTCACAGACACTGCCCTTCTTGTTGCGCTGAAAAGTTGTCTCTTGGTCTTACCCAGCCGGTTAGGTTCAACTGCCTTACTTTCCACATCCCATAATACCGGGTTTTGGTGACTCACTTCAAAACTGACCACTCAAATCTCACATAATTCTTGTACACGAAGCTTCACTTCCATGTGGTGTATTTCTTGTTTCCACGTCATTCCTTATGGCCATCACTCTTTTAGCAACTTTTGCTCAAATTGAAGCGATGCCAGAGATGAACTCAAAGCACAGTCGCAAATCGCTGGATAGAAGTTCGACCGCATTGTTCGGACGTTCCAACTGTAATCCTCCTTGTGCGAGCAAAATTCATGGAAATGACTAGCAGGAGTCCGGCTTGAATTGGCCAGGACACCAAGGTGCGCGATCGAAGGGCTCAACTGAAGCCGAGATCCGGACCCGAAATGCCGGTCACCATCGCCGAATACTACTGTGGGGGCGGGGCATCAAACCCGCGAGAGGGGGGACGGGATCAAATGACGACGTTGCGCAGTACATAGAACTCAATCCGTTTCTTGACATCATCTCACACTTTCCCTGCTCACTGGCTATCCTGTGCCTCAAGCTTTCATCACCGCTGCAACCCTCGGGCCCCCCTTCAACTCAAAGAACCAAGGACCACCAAGCGTATCTTACCCTCGAGATCTAGCCCAGCATGAGGTATCTCAGATCCCCTCACGCACTGCTCACCTTGCTCACCTTCTTAGCCTGTTTGGCGTAGGTGGCTGCCTTTTTCTTTCCAATGATGAAGAATCTCGAGGCTCGTATGAAGATAAGCTTCAAATACTAATTTGACCTCTCAGTCCCTCATCGCAACAAAGTGCCCCCTTCAACGAGAGTAATCTCCCAGAAAACCGCACATCCGCCGCCTTTCCCCTCCCGGTCCCAACCCTCGATCTCGACTTCCGCATCGTCGTGGACCTCAACCCTCTCATCCCTGTCGGCGTTGGCCCGTTCGGCCAGCGGAACTGGATCTCCTTCTCCGGGGGCGCCTTCTCGGCCAAGTGGGGCACCGGCACCGTCGTCGCCGGCGGGCAGGATAGCCAGATTGTCGTCAACGAGACCCTCAGCACCGCTGTCGAGACGTCGTATCTGCTGAAGACGGATGATGAGATGCCGGCTTACATTACTGTGAAGACGACTGGCTGGCGGACTGGGCCGCGGGAGGTCATGGAGAGGTTGTTTGATCCGGCTAGAGCGAATGATGTCAAGCCCTCCGAGTATAGCTTCCGATTGAATGTCAAGATGGAGACAGGAGATGAGCGGTATAAGGATATTGTTAACACTGCCATGTGGGTGGGTAGTGGTGCTCGGTTGGGAGCCACTGTCATCTATGATGCTTACCGGGTGGTTTAATGGCACCAGTGGGCTCTGAGAACCATGGAGGCGATTAACAATACGACTTTTCAGTTCAGGTGTGCCCATATATACACCGTTATTGGTACATACATAGTTGGAGACAAAATCAAATGTCTATACTCATGCAGGATTGTGGGCTGTTGTCCGCTAATTCTAGTTTTTTCCGTCGAACCAGCTCCACAATTATATTTGGCATGAAATACATGGAAAAAACCAACACACCACCAACCATCGCCCAAAGTGTCGTCGAATAGGCAAGAATGATTTCTGGGAGCAGCGAGATACTTAGAACCATTTTGTAAACGACATGAAAGTGACGAAGGCCAGACATCAGCCACTGCTCATGCTCTTGCTCCCATATCCAAAGCTTCACAAACGGCCACTTGCCCAGCGGAAGACCAAAACCAAAACTATCCGGTCCTGATTTCATTACTCATTCAACCTCCAACAGATTATATCGCTTTTCTTCTTGTTCATACGTCAATATAAAGGCTTCCTAGCACCGAGAGAAGGAACTAGGGCGGAGATCCTGAACGAGGAGGAGCTCTCCTGACGGCATTCGGCAGTAGCATGGCTATTTACTTGTCAGAGTGACTGCGCTTCAAACGTTCGGGATATCCCACTAGAAACAGCTTCGCCCATTCAGCAACATATCTAGCTGGAACATTCTACTCATTTTTCTACAAGTTTCCTTATATCTTCAAAGGCAGCTAGATACAGGTGCGCCTTCCTTTCACCTGGACTGCCATATCATGACACAATGGGTAGTCCAGGTGTTTACCTTTATAATATGGTAGTCTGTTGATGAGCAAACAGTCAAGTCTTAGTCATAGTAATGTTATCCAAAAAGGTTCTTGTCCAATTCTTTCCCAAAAATGCCCCGTCCTAATCCAAGCGACACCGGCTGAGATCCTACCAACGGTATAGTACCCGCATAACAGCGTCCATGACTACCGTGGCCGCCGTGCCCACACAGAGCTCATGGCGTCTGCCTATATACTGACTGGATCGCAAATAAGCTAGAGTATCCTAGCTTCCAGAACCCTCCAGAACCCTCCATAAACCTTTTATAAAATTGACGGCCTGAAGCATCCGCCACAGCAGTAATGACCTCGAATCCTCCAACGCCGCGCAAAATGACATGCCAGTTCCCTTTCGCCCTATCGCCAAGCAGGCGGTCCAATACACGGAACCCCAGTGGTCTCTGCCTATGCCCCTAGGCTCACTGCCACAAGCATAGCTTGCCACTCGCAGTACCCCCAGCCACCCAGTCCATCGTCGGGTGGAAGTGGGCGACAGCAGGAACAGCCGAGATGCCGTCTCCGCCCAGCTGCGCAAGTTGCTCACCATTGGCAGCGTAGACGTCAACGAAGCGGTTCATGTTACCAATGACGAACTTCTGAATGCCATCCTTTGGCCGTTTCTGCCATTGGGGTTTGAGAATGGTAACCCAACGACCTGTCTGGTTGTTGTGCTTCACGATGTGCTTCGGCTCCATCTCGGTGGACTTGTCCCAGTCGGTACGGTCCGCCCAGTCGTAGATCTTGATTGTGTCATCGTAGGATGAAGTCGCGATTTGCCCGCCGGGGCTCCAGGAGGCATGGGACACCGACAGGCGGGAGTTATGCTCGTAGAGCATGGCAGGGTGTCTCATATCGCCCTTGCCAGTGATCTTCCGCAAATCCCAGATCTTGACCGTTCTATCGAGAGAAGCGGTGGTGAGAAGGTGGGGCTCCCGCGGGTTCAGAGAGAATCCTCCAATCTTGTTGTCGGACAACTGCCACATCTCCGTGGACTTGGGGTCGCGGATGTCGACCTTTCCAACAGCGCCATTGAGCGTGGAAAAGTAAATGACATTCTTATCCGTCAAAGGTATATCGATGGCGGACAGAGGAATGTCCTCGTTCTTTTCCTCAGGCTCCCAGACGGGCACGCACATATCTTTTTCAAGATCAAGGACTCGGATGGTTGAATCATAGGACGAGGTGTAAACCTTTTGCTGCTCATACGGAGAAACAATGATGGTAGTGATCGTCCGGGTGTGGATCTTATAGGCGCCAATCTTGGGGTCAAACCAGGCGTCCTCATCATCATCGTCCTGCGGGGGACCGTCCTGGGAGGCATCGAAGACACCTAGGGCGCCTTCCTTATCGCCGGCAAACACAAGTGCCTTCTCCTCGGTCGGGTGGAACGTGGCTGCATAGATGCGCAGTGGGCAGATTTTGATATCTGGGAATATGTGAGCAACTACGGCGCATTAGGGGTTCAGATCGCAAGACTTACCCTGCGGACTCCACTTCTCATAGAGCTCGAGCTTGCCCATCTTCTGACGCAGCGCCTTCAAATCCTTGTCCGAGGTATTTGCGACGTCCTCATCCGTGAAGGTGGGCACACCTGGCTGGGCGCCTCGAGGGACCAATGCACTTAAGCCGGTAATACCATGGTTGAATTTCTTCCCGTCGACGGCGATGTCCCCCAGACTAAGGTTGCCACCGATTCTCGTCTTCTTGGCCTTTTCCTGTGCAACTTTCTCTTCAACCTCGACCTCATACTTGCGCTTGAGAGTCTCGTTATCGGCATCAAATCCGGCAACACGAGCACTGCGCCGGACCGGGCCAGTCGGGGCAACGGGTTCCTTCTTGACAGGAGTGGATCGTGACTTTGGCGCAGGCTTGGGCTTGGGAGGCATGATCTTATTCGAAGCCTTGGCCAAGTCGTCAAGCATGGTCTTGTTCTTTGCAATGTTTGCCAATCGCATCTTCTCGAACGCGCTCATCCCCGTATCCTCCTCGGCTTTGACCTTAGTGCGAGCCATGATTGCGGTTGGGATGGGTGTGGACGGGAAGAGGTAAATGTATGCGATCTGGCGGTGGTCGAGCTGGAGGAAAAGTCGTAGATTTGGTGTGCGGATGCGTATCAGACTGTGGTCGTGTTTTTCAATCGGCGGTGTTCGTGGTTCGGTACCAGGGCTGATCACGATAGAGTTGAGCATGGTTGAAGAGGAAGAGGAAGTTTGTGACTTACTGCGATAATTGCAACTCCGGGATCGCAATTGCAATGCCAAACTCGGATTTGACCTGTCGCAACTACACCGGTATCCAGGTGTGGGAGTTATGAGGCCAAGAAGAGATTGGAATTGTCCGTAGAAAGAAAAAAGAAGAGGCAATTCAGAGCGTGAATCACGACAGAAGGAGCGCGGTGGAGGCGAACCTGCCTAATTGAAAGCGCGTCGCAACGCGTCGAGGTCCGCGGCGGTTGCAGGGGGTTTAATGTCCATTACGTCAGCCAACAGCACCCCCCCCCGGGTCCCTGCATGGCCCGAGCTTCCCCTGTCGGATTTTTGGATGGAAATTTTGTTGCATCTGCAGATTCGCAACCTTTGATCATCGCAAAGTGAAGTGCACAACTTGCGCTTCCACCATACAGCACACACAATGGCTACAACATTGACGCCATTCCTCTACCAGACGAGGACAATTCTGAGAGGTTCTGTGTCCATACGATCCCTCTCGACAACCGCAGGCCGGCTCCACGCCCACCCCCGAGGCCGCGGCCAGCAGAGCATCCCCTTCGAATGGGACGGCCCTACCCAAGAGCGAACCGATATCCCAAGCGGCCCAGACGGCGAGAGAAAGTCCACCATTACCCCGACCGAGAGACAGGTCTTCCGTGCAATCTTCGACGATATTGCGAAGCGTGGCGGCCAGGTCCCGCCACAGGCTACCCCGGACGCTGCAGACGACGCCTCCTCATCCTCGCAAATCGAACCCGAACCCGAGTCCGGATCTCGCGATGCCATCCTGCGCAAATACCCACCTGCTCTGCGCCGCGCGGCTGAGGTTGCGCTTGGAATGCACCAGATCCAAGGCAACCAATTGGCCTCGTCGCGCATCTCCTTCAAGCCGGAAGAGGAGCTCGAATCAGACCTGGAAGAAGCCGCCAAGATCGATGCTGCGCGGAGGGACGCCCGCGCCCAAGAAGCTGTCCGCCTACAGGCCCTTCTGGACCAGTGCAACACCGACGTTGAGGTCTGGACCGTTTTGGAGCGCGACGTCTTCTCCATGGTCGCAAGGCTGGGTATCTCCGAAGACCAGAACCACCAGCCGGATCCGGAAAAGAAGGCCAAGTCCGCGCAGAAGAAGTCGTCCAAAAAGGCCCAGCCAGACGCCCTCAGCATGGACTCCCATGGTCCGCTGTACTCGATGCACCTCCTCCAGGGCCTCAAGACCCTCGACCAGTCCTTTGCGCACTCCTCCCCACTGGCGTTGAACGTCCTCCCACGCGTAAAGGACCTAGGCCTAGCTTCCTATGTCCTCGGCGTCTCTACGCCTTTCTACAACGAGCTGGCCTCTATCCTCTGGTACCGCCACGGGGACACCCAAGCTGTGCTGGCCGTGCTGGACGAGATGCAGTTCGCGGGCCTCTTCTACGACATGCAGACGCTGCGCCTCGTCGATACCATTGAGCTGGCCCTAGACTCCTTCCGGGGCGGCAAGCTGGGTGTCTTCTCCAAGGCTGTTGGCACCATGCCGGGCTACAACCTCGATGTCAAATCAAAGGTGGCGCGTTACGCGCGAAGGGTGCGCCATAGCCTCAGGGAGCATACTGGTAGTGCGCGATACTAGGACTCCCGGTGTATAGTAAATGGTGATGGATGTGATGTTTGCTGCCAAGAGAGGCTGCTTGTACAAGACACTGTAACATATTTTGTAACTACAACACCCCGCATAGCGAATCCTCATCAGGATTGGAATCATGGAAAAGGCGCATGGCGCTTCAGATTCACAAATGTAATCAAGATTCAAAAACACCAAAAGTTCCAATGTTTCCAAGGCATAGCCGCGCTATTTCGAGCATCTCGATGTTGGCTGAGACATCAATACCTAAGCTGACATACGCGCCTTGCGATTTTCTTCCTAGAAGAAGAAGAGGGCAGGACAGAACAGGAAGTGAACCTATTCCACTTGCTTCACAAGCGGGCAGCCGGACCTCAGACCGGACTTACTGGGCTTCAAAGAAGATCGGTGGCCCCGAGGAATTGTTTAGCCTTTTAAGCCTTTTTAAGCCTTTGGGAACTAAACAAGTGTGCTCACCCCCACGCCATGAATCCATTCCTGGCCATTGCTGAGCACTTTTCTCCAAATGTCTTTGTTCTCAGCCCTAGATGGGCAGACTTCCACCCCCTCCCTCCCCAAGATTCCAAATGGACCTGAAGAAGGCTTGGCCTGGTTGACAGTTATTAGTTATTAGCCAGGGCGTCCCACAGCCATGTTGACGGGAAGGGCGTTATCTCGTCTCTTCTCCCTGCTCGGACTTGTTAGAGACGGTGCAACGCCGCCAGGGGGGAGTGGGTTTGGCCTGTCTGCTGCTACTTCTTGGATCTGAGATGTGCGCTGGGATCGTTCGATGGGTCGGCCTCATCTGAAGACACACCTCTGTATCGCCAACTACGAACTTTAATTTTTGAATGGAATCTCGTGAGCTGGTTTTGTTACCCCTCGTTGCTGTCAAAGACTACACGTGCCTCCTTTCGCAGCTCATGGCATGGGCTGAAAGCTTCATGCCATGTTCAACTCGTGTGGGTTTAGTCAGGCAGTCCAATTCAATGAGTACCACAGACTCGTTCCTTGGGAATCAACCGCACAGAACTGCCGTGCCAAGATGCTGGGCGTTCTTTGGCTTGTCTTGTCTTCCGCGACGACCTCACTCGAGAGAGCCTGGAAAACGTCATGGCGACACTGAAGGGGGAAGACTTTGCGTCGGTGGATGACTTCTAGATGGCTTCTACGGCGAAAAGAGCAAAGTAACATCGCCGATCTTGACTTGAAATGAGGGGCTCTTCTTTTGGGTAAGGCACAGACATACTCGAAGTACCTACCTACCTACCTTGGTCAATCAACATGACTTCAGTCTGAGAAGCAAGTCGAGAGGGCAGGGGGGGTGAGTATCTCAGCAGTCGCAGTGAGGAGTCAAAGCGAATCCTACGTAGCAATGTAACGGCAGAGCACATCACATCTTATGAGAACGAATGAAATAATAATTGACAATTAAGGATGTGAGGGTCGTGAAGGTGGTACTCGGCGCAAAGCATGATCATTCAGCTAACTTTCTCATGATCTATCTATCTACCATGATTCCGGGGATGGAGGCCAAGCAGATGCACGATCACTTCTCATTTATGACAAGTGGGAGGGGAGTATTCAGTGTAAGCGTTCATACCAATTGATATATGAATTTACCCGAGAGACAATAGAGTTCTGTTTGCTTATCCTTCCTCAGTCGATTGATTCCATTGAGAAGCCAAGTAAGTTAAGTAAGTGGTTGAGTGATTGACAACTTTCGACTGTGAATGCAAACTGTGTGAATTAGTTATATGACTTGAGTTCGTACGAGAGAGACAGACAGACAGAGGCCAAAAAGAGTCTATCAATGTCCAGCAGCATACTTGATCACGAACGAGTTGGAGCCATGAGCAAAAGTTGAAGTTGCGGCCAGTGTGGATTGAACACACGACCTTCAGATTGATTGAATGAAGTTTTCTAGGGTTGAGAACCCACTTCAGTCTGACGCTCTCCCAACTGAGCTATGTCCGCCGCCATCTTCGAGATCCACAGACAGGTGGTGCTGCTAAGAATCCCGGGCTTCATGTCGCGAGAAGTTGGTGGAGGTTGTGTAATCTTTCGCGATTGAAAGTTCTAGAACACTTCTTCGTCCGTACGGAACGTGTCAGCAAACCTTGTATTAGAGTCATGAAGGTGGTGTGGTAGACCTTGGAATTACAGCGAGTCACTCTGAGACATCACCAAAAGAGAACCTGATGGAATGACCAAAGATTCAGCCTCAAATGAGGTAAGACTTTATTATGCCCAATTTTTCCTAAATGCTCCGTAGATGAATGACCCCCTCGGCTTCGCTAGCTGATGCGGCCACAATGCCTCCCTCCCTCCATGTCTTGGTTGAAAAAAAAAAAATTAAAAAAATAACTGCTCTTCATATCGCAGAGTCATGAACCCCATATGAACATCCAAATCACTCACACACACAGACATTGCTCATGAGTAGTGTCTTCCTGCAATGTCACCTGCAGTCTAAGCTCCTGTCGCTAGCCCAACACCTTGCTTACCACCCACGCGTGGCCAGCTTCTCCTCAGTCTTCAAGCTGTCACAGTTGATGCCGACCATGGCCTCACCAAGTCCCTCACTGCACTCGGCGAGGACCTTGGCGTCCTTGTAGTGCGTCGTCGCTCTCACGATGGCCTTGGCGCGCTTGGCCGGGTCGCCAGACTTGAAGATGCCGCTGCCGACAAAGACACCGTCGCAGCCGAGCTGCATCATCAGCGCCGCGTCCGCGGGGGTGGCGACACCACCGGCGGCGAAGTTGACGACGGGGAGACGGCCGAGCTCGGCCGTCTGCTGAAGAAGCGTAGGGTCGACCTCGAGCTCTCTCGCCAGGGCGCGGATACCCAGGATGCCCTCTGTCGCGAGAACTCCCTTGGCGCGCGCAATGTCTCTGGTGACCTGCTTGACGTGGGTGACGGCCTCGACAACGTCGCCGGTGCCGGCCTCGCCCTTTGTGCGGATCATGGCGGCGCCCTCTGCGATTCTGCGCAGGGCCTCGCCGAGGTTGCGGCAGCCGCAGACGAAGGGGGCCTTGAAGTCGGCCTTTTCGACGTGGTAGACCTTGTCGGCCGGGGTAAGGACCTCGCTCTCGTCAATGTAGTCGACGCCGAGGGCCTCGAGGATCTGGCACTCGACAAAGTGGCCTATGCGGGCCTTGGCCATGACGGGGATGGTGACGGCGTTCTGAATCTCCCTGATGACGGCAGGGTCGGACATGCGGGCGACGCCGCCGTCCTTGCGGATGTCTGCCGGGACACGCTCCAGGGCCATGACGGCGCAGGCGCCGGCCTCCTCGGCGATGCGGGCCTGGGCGGCGTCGGTCACGTCCATGATGACACCTCCCTTGAGCATCTGGGCGAGTCCGGCCTTGACGGCGAACGTGTTCTTGGCATCGCCGTTGGTGCCGTTGGGCTTGGTTGCGTCGTTGTTGGTCATTGCGACTTGAGTTGTAGAGCGACTTTTCGGGGGTATCTTTGAGAAGGATGAACCGCTATGAGATGAGCGGTAATAGTGAGTTGAAGAGGTGTGAGGCGGGATGGTACAGAAGGTCTGAGTGAAAGAGACGGGAATAGAACGGCTCTGGGAGTGAGGGGTATCTTTTTTTCAATCAATCAGAGAGAAAGGAGGGCCTCAAAATGGTTAACGAGGATTCAAAATGCTCCGCAACACGATGGGTCTGGTTTGTATATCATGAAATCCGGGGAAAAGGGGTCTTCAGGATGAACGAAGAGGAGGGGGCAAATATGTATTATGGCGGCAAACATCAACTTCGATGATGACACGGGATGTCCAGCGAGGGGACCAAGATCGGACGAAGAGAGAAAATTTTTACACTTGTCCTGTACCGAGTCATCCCGTCTTTCCCGCGGATCCTTCCCATCTGCTTGGAGAACAAGACTTGAACGGTGGTACACCAGCCAGAAAACCCCTCCGCCTAGGCGAGCCGAGCAAAGCAGCGCGTGGCCCGCGACTGAGTCGGCGGCGACACTTGGCCGTAGGGAACCCCTAGGGCCGAGCTTACCACCCAGCAAATCTGCAGATAGTCATGGATACGGTACACCTACTGCGTAGACTACGACTCTGTGAGATGGATGGCCTGCGGGCACGAGCTTGAGGGGGGACGACTGGACGGGTCAGAGCCCGATCTCGGAAAGGCAAGATACGGTTACTCCGGGACCCCGGTACATGGCCAACCTTGATGGAATGGCAGTGTCATCGAAGTATCCCCCGTACAAGTCGTGGACCGTGGCGGGCGCGGAGGGCGGCCCAGTCCCACGCACCGGTGTTTGAACGGGTGGCGGGATACAGCTCTGGATGTCTGGACTCTGCGATCTGGACACGCTTCGTTCGGCTTGGCCATTGAAGGTATTTGCCCGATAAGGAGAAAGCTGAGGGTTTCGTGCTGTGGGACGTGTACGTTGGTTGTGTGGATGGATCATGGCCCGACATATTCTCTTGATCGTGGGTCACTCTGACAATGCGCGCATATAGTGTATGTAATTGTAATACCAATGTACATGTTACCCTGGTATCTCGCAACCCGGCTGAGCCAGAGGCTTCTTCCACAATCGGTGACAAGTTTCTACCGACCGTCCACATGCTCCGAACGGCGGTGACAGATACAAAAGACTGAAGGGCGGGCGGGGAGCAGAGCGGTTGTCATCGGATGTAGATCCGAGCGATGCCCCTCCGCCAAACCCGCCCTGCCGCTCCCTTCGAGTCTGTTCCGCGCGGGACAACACCCAGATCGCCCCATCTTGTTCCGCACGAGCTGCAGAGTCAAGCTGGAACAAGCTCCGTATGCATGGAATCTTCTCTCGCCGCCGCTCTATGCATCTGACGGACGCCTTTCCCTGTCCCGTTGCTCCGCCAGTCGCTGACACCAACCAGACATCAACTAACAACATCTGCATGGATCTTTGGTCTTGACATTGAGCAATCCCGCGCCCCTTACGCCCTTTGCGCCCACAGCAAACGGGACAGACAGTCTTGGTCTACTATCTGTACTACACTGCAGCGGAGGAGCGAGTCGGCGGCGAGCTACCCGCAAACCCACCGTTGCATAGGCTGAGCAACCAACCCTCTGACTAAACCGCCGATTACTGCAGTGCGGGCAACATAAAGTACATTACTTTAGCGGATAGCCTACAACCTTTTGCTGCTCTTCACCGGTCCGGAACGCGGTGTCTGAGTTCATTGCGCGTGTAAATGACTCAAACACAAGAGTCGCAACCTTTCACGACTCTGCCCATCATCCTCAAGAAATCTGCTGGACGCCACCAGCCGCAGAGCCTTGAACCTCACAACACACTTTTCACAATGTCTTCTCTCACCATCGGCGTGCTGGCTCTACAGGGTGGCTTCCACGAGCATGTCGAACTTGTACGGAAGGCCGCCGTCTACCTCGCTACGGCCGAGTCTTCGGCGCCAAACCCGAGACCCGAGATCACTGCCATCGAGGTCCGTACCGAGGCAGAGCTCCGAAGCTGCGATGCTCTCATCATTCCGGGCGGAGAGAGCACCACAATCTCCTTCATCGCGGCGCAGTCCGGGTTGATGGAACCCCTCAAGGAATTCGTCAAGTAAGCCACCTCACTCACCTCTCACTCACCTCTCACTCACCACAGATCCGAGTTTGCTCTCATGATGTCATTTCCGAAATTGAGAGAATTCCACACCTCACTCGGTGTTTTCTCACTCGGTGTTTTCTCACTCGTATCTTCATCTCACTCACCCTTCGCGAATGTTTTTCTGGAGTATTGAGAGTTTTCCCGTGAGACAACGTCTAATTCTTATTCTCCTTTTTAGAGTCGACCGTAAGCCAGTCTGGGGAACCTGCGCCGGCGCTATCCTCCTTGCTGATGAGGCAAATGCCACCAAGAAGGGCGGCCAAGAGCTCATCGGCGGCCTGGGCGTGCGCGTCCACCGCAACCACTTTGGTCGCCAAATCGAGAGCTTCGTCGCGGATCTAGACCTGCCCTTCCTGACGCAGGGCGACGGCAACACGAAAACGGCGTCGTCCCCTTACCCTGGCGTCTTCATCCGCGCCCCAATTGTTGAGGAGATCCTCTCCACCGAGGCGGGCGACAGCGACAAGCCGGCCTCCTCGGCTGTCGAGGTCCTTGCCGTTCTTCCGGGGCGAAAGACCAAGGCCGCTGAGGGCGTCAGCCAGAGCACCGCGGACGACTCGGTCGGTGACATTGTCGCTGTGAGGCAGCAGAACATCTTTGCCACGAGTTTCCACCCCGAGCTTACTGACGACGTCCGCATTCACGTTTGGTGGTTGGAGCAGGTGATGAAGGCTGCGACACCGACATCATCCGCATGACCGGGGCCTTGACGACATGCAGTTCTCACGACTCAGAGCCAAAGTAATGTCACGGCGCATATTCGCAAACGAGAAAAAAGAATGAGAACAGATTTACACGAAGCCATTGACGAGGTGTCCTAGTTACCGAGGGCGTACCGTCTCTGCGTCGACGTTGAGGGGTGGCATATGCCACTTCTGCCACAATTATGCCACCACAGATGCCACCGGGGGCGACAGTTTCAAGTCACATGACATCACATTTCACATCCCACCCGGCTGGCAACAGATAGATAGAGAGAGAGAGAGAGAGAGAGAGAGAGAAGGGCAGCTTGCATCACGCACAGACGCAACGGGAGGAGATTTGCAGATCTTAGTGCTGGTCAGCCTGGTAGCAACGGGTGGGCAGAGAGTTTGCGTAGCGCTGCCTTTGTCGTTGGAATGAGGAGAAATGGGCTAGTGACATCCGTGGCTTGCGCGGAATTTGGACCTCCCGCCAATCCAGACAACAAGACAATCAGATCATGCGCGAGCCGAGGGTTCGCCCGTGAGTACGGGCCGGTAAACAAAACCGTGAGATACTACCAAGCCTTCTGGGCCCCCGCGGGAGGAGGCGAGATGGTCCCCGGAAAAGAAAAGAAAAACAAAAAAGAGGGTAAAGATAGAATTTAGAATAGACGAGACGGAATCGCATATGATCAGCAGTCCTAGTTCCAGCCGCCGATATCCAGTCAGCAGGGTCCAAGATGGCTTCAACGAATGCAGACATTTCCAAGACTTCAGCTGTCCAGCCGTGCAGATCCAGAGCCGAGGATGAGGTCGAATCTCATTCTTGGTCTCAGCTGTGCCCATGTCCGTGATCTCGGTAATAGTTCCTGAGGGTCACGGGGGGTTTGTCGTCACATCGGGACCCGATGGACAGGGCCGTGATGAAATGATCGTCAGAAATGACATGCAGACGAGACCCGACGACACATATTTCTTTCGACAATAAGAAACATGGCTAGGAGATGCAGATCATTCTTATTCTTCCAAAAAAGAGAAGACCACTTCCAAATGAGGGACTGGACTCTCCCTGAACCCTGGAATTTGCGTATAACCCCAAAATGTGACTAACACAAGGGGGGGGGGGGACCCTCATGATCTGATTGCTACCCGCACTCTAAATTTTCGAGATTTAGAACTTGTCAAAAGCGGGCTTTTCGTGAGTCGGATTTAGAATGGTAATAGTTACACAACATCATTAGTGGCATTGGCACAAGGGTTCCACCTCCGAATAAGGCAAGGCAGCGAAGGAAGACGAAGAATGCGCGGAATATTCGCGATCAGCATGTAGAACAAGCAGTCTCATGATCAAAATGTATTTAAGAAAAGAAGTGCTTAGACTTCATTGATTATGTGGATATCTACTATCTACTAGATGGAACAAAGTTGAAGATTCTCTGATGGAGAAAGTTATATGATGAAGTATGTACCGGACTGAAGTAAGATTATATACAGGGAAAAGAAAGTAAAAGCCCTCAAAGGCTCGTATTGAAAACAAGTAGTATCAAGTGTTGTCCGTAGAAGTAAAGCAACATGAAGAAACCCGCAGGCTAAGAGTTCATGAATCTTAATGGCCATCAACATCATCCACAATCTGTGGCATACACTCCCCGCTCGCTTATGAAGACATGATCAACAAAAGAACAAATGCGCTGACGCAAAGAACAAGAGACTTGTCTGAAGAGACGACGTGTCCGGTACCACTGTTGAAGCTGCCAGGACGGAAGGATGGATCGGCATCGGCAGTGACGGTTGCAGTTGACTTGTCGGTCACGGTGACTGACACCGAGACTGTGGCTGTCTGTGTAACCGGCTCGGCGAAGAGGCCCCCATCGAAAGTAGAGACACGTCCGGGGACGTTGGTGATTTGTGGCAAGCAAGGCTCGCTCGCGCAGGTCCTGACAATGGTGCGCGTTGTGGTCAAGCCGGGCTCGGTGAAGGTCTCGACGAAGGTCGATGTGACGACGGCGGCATCAGTCGCCTGAGGGATTGTGAGGACGGCACTGAAGGGTGTCGGGCAGTCGGTGCAAGTAGCTTGGGTTGTAGTGAAGCCGGGAGGGAGGACACTGCCTGATGGCTGGCATCCTGTGATGCCGGTGCAGGTTTGGGTGATGGTGTAAGTCTCTGGCCTCAGACCCTGAGAGCACTCTGGACAGAAGGTGGGATAGACTGTTGTATAGACTGCCGTGAAGGGATCATTGTTGGTCCCTGTGGGTTGAAGTTGTTGAGGGAGGATATAGATCGAGATTGGCTCGACCCTGGTAACGGTGAGGGCATCTAACGTTGTGGTGGAGGAACAATCTTCTTGTCTGCGGTAGACCCTGGCGCCAGCCGCAACGGCAGCGAATGCGAAGATGAGTTGCAACATTTTTTGTGAGAGTTAGAGAGGCTGAGCTGAGGTTGGGTTGTCGCGGTTGAATTCAGGGTGCAAGTGTAGCAAGAATCTCGGGCTGAAGAAGGAATGCGGAAACTCTATATCAGGACATCTTGATCTGGAGATGGACCGATATCGTATGCCTCCCGTGTCTCCTTCACCCCGGCCGCCAAGCCGTTTGTCGACTCTGACGTCCATCTCCGGAACGTCCTGTCCACTGGGGCGTCAACTCTATTGTTCATCCAACCCGCTTGGGACTGGAAAGACGCCTCCCCCCCCCGGGAGCCTCTCGAGAGTCTCACGGCCGGAAAGACGCAATTCCCACAAAGCCCTCGTCGAGCAGCATAGAAACAGTAAGAGGGGGTTTGCTGTGAAGAGCGGCTGAATGCGAACTTGCCAAGGTCTTTGTGACTGCGATCGTGATGCCTCCTGTCCACTTCTGTCCAGAGGCTCTAATGTCTGGCCTCGCCCAGCGCCACTGTTCGGGTGCGGTCGTGTGTGAGGGTATCTGTAGTCTCGAGGTCTTCATGTCTTGTTCGGGTAGACAGGTTGGGATAGCTTCAACTGTCACGGGCCGTCCTGCTCAAGGACGAGAGGTAACCGGATCCGAACAAGAACAGAGATCGGGAATATAATTGCCAAAGCTCCGTGGGAATGGTGAGATTGAGTTCAAGGGTCTAGGCTCTTTGAAGGGGGTGTCTTAGACTAGACGGGCTGACCAACCGCGACGGCTCCCCCGGGGAAAACCGCGCCAACTGTTGCGTAGATCTCGCATTCCCGTCTTTAGTTGCGGCCTGTTTATGCTAGTGTGTTATGTGACAACAACTGCTTCTTCTCACAGGCTGACTGGTCTGGCTGACTACACCCCCCTCGGGATGGGGGATCTCCGTCTCGCCGTCCACCTCTGCTCAATTCGTTTCCGGGTTTGTGGCGGTGATGTTCACAAAGGGGGGCACCAGAGCAGATGAAAGAGGCGACCGAACAGAGGGCACGCCAAACAAATCCACAGCCAACTTAAGCCAGCAACGGCTCGGCTACATGAACGCCTCCTACTGAGCAGTTTGGGGAAGCTTGGACGCATTTGTCCAAGATGGACTTCAGCTCTCTCGACCGTCCCACACCTTATTGCGTCAGACTGACCTCCCCCCCCCCCCCCCCCCACACACACACACACACACACAGAAACGACGACCAGATAGCTATGACCCACCAGCAACGCTTTCGTTTGAAGGCTGCAAGTCATCCTAGACCTGGGCGGCAGCTAGCGGAGAGAGCTTCTGCTAGACATCTATCAAGTAAGGTCGTCAGGTGGGTTAAGAAAAACTGCTAAGAACGGGAGCAAATCCTCCCGTCATTAGGACGACCCGCAAAGAATAGGATTTAGGCGGATGTTGTCATCCCAACCGTCGTCGTCCTGCGGGCGCGGAATCTGAGATGACGGGAGTCTAATGCTAGTCAAATCACCTTAGCTATGGGTTGTCCTGCATTGCCTGCATACCTAGGCTTTGTGGCCCTCGACTCATCACCCACCACCGCTGACGCTACTGACGACGAACAATGCGATTGTCTACAATGCGCAATCTAAGCAATAGTAATCACTGCTGTCTGCTGCTGTCTCCGCCGAGCGCGGAAAATCCGCCGTGGGCTCCCGAAGCGGCTCTAGTTCCCTCTCGGTTGACGGTCTTGTCTTAGGTCTCCAAAAACGCCAGACCTCATTCTCACCAATCGCCTCTGAAAAGCATCACATCTTTGGCCGGAACGAGCAGAGCTCGGCCAGAAACAGTCACAGAGTAGGTAACCATGAAGTCAGGCGAGGCATCAGTCCTCCTGTTTTCGAACGAGATGGCTCTGGCCTCTCTGCCTCTGCCGTATCCTTAACGAGAGGCACTCGGCCCGGTAACAGGTTCGCCACGGTTGGCTCGCCATCTCTCCCTCACTCTTCGCCTTCTCTCTCTCTCTCTCTCTCTCTCTCCTCTCTTCGCCTCTATTGCCTCCCGATATCTGCCCTTTTTACATCTCGTCATTACTTGAACGTTGCAATCGAGTCCGAGGTAGAGTATCCATCATTATCATCATCACACAGAGACATAGTGAGCCACCTTGGCATGCGCCCTGAGCTGAAGACAGATCCGCCATCGTCCGCATAGGAACGACATTCCACACGCCTCCAGCCATTCTGTTGGTCAGGAACGCACCAGTCTCACGGCAACAAGCTACAGCAAAACCTCTCCATTAAAACAATCGAGCCATCTACGTTTGACCGTCGTACAAGAAACTTATCTAGTATTTGTTTCACGGCGTCCACACACTTTGACGCTTCTTCTTGTTTGCCTTTTCCCTCTTTTTCCTCTCCCCGTTGAAACAGCGGCGCCTCCCGTCTTATTCGAGAGATGCCACTGCATGGTCAATAGTCGACCAGATATTTCCTTGTACACGACTCACCCTAATATCCGAAAGGAAACAAAAGAAAGATCGGCTCTGATTAGCATCAACGACGTTACACAACTAAAGGTTAAGCTTGCTGCTGCTCGGCTTCCAGACCTGGTGTCTTGGATGGTCTTGAGACTATCGTGCTGGAATCACGCAGCGGCGCTTCATTATCATGAAGTTCAACATCATCCTGGGCCTGTTGGCCGCCGCCAGCCAGTACTGGCCGGCCATCGCCCTGCCTCAGTTCCCCGATAATCCTGTCTGTGCTGCCGGCATCACATCTGTCGAAGTACAGCCGGTGCAGTTCATCGTCAGACAGCCCATCTACATCAGCGCCTACTTGCCAGTCAACACCGTCCTGGTACTCGACGATGGTCTGACCCTCACCATCACTAATGCGCCCTTGACCTTGGTCACTGAGATTGAAAAGCTGGGAACACTTACCTCCCAAGTAACCAGGTGGGATATCCACGTTTACCATACCTTCATCCTCGTACATCCAAGCTAACGTCGACCTAGAATCATTGACCAGGTTTCATCCATCCCCAACGCCTATGTCACCATCACAAGAGGTGGCCAGGCGGGATCTGAGGCAAGCACAATCACAATCTTCCCCTCGGGTCCCGACGGCGTCGGAACCTACCTGGTCTTCACCCCTTTCGCCAACATTGCGGCTACCACCGGCAGCAGTGTCCCAGAAACAGCAACTGTCCCGGGCACTCCTCTCGACGCAAGTCAGCTGGTAACACAGTCTGCACCAGGCGTGAGCAGCGTCGTTAACCCCGGACCTAGCCCTGCCTCAGTTCCGGTCACAATTGCTCCTACAGCACCTGGAGGAGCTGCGGCTTTGCCTCAGATCTTTGCTACTGTCAACGTTGGTGGTGCCTCGGGCGTGCCCAGGAACTTCACCGTCGTGGACTCGGCTGGATCTGCGGGTACGGTCTTTGCGCAGACTTTTGACAGCTTCTCCATCACCGTCACTGGTCCTCAGAATGTCATCACGGTTCTCGGTAACGCTGGTGTTACACCCGCTGCCATCACTTTGCCCGGTAGCAGGGCTGTGACGCAGACCGGGGCCGATGCTGTTCTTCAAATTATCCAGACTCCGGGAGGCGAGGCCGATTTCCTTGCCAGGCTCACCACCGTGAGCATCGCGGCCCAGAACGGCCAGACTGGAACTTTCACGCTTATCCCGACGGCTGGCAGTGTTGGTGCGGTAATCGTGCAGACTGCTGCACCGGCTCTTGCTGCCATCTTCCAGACCATCAGCGTTCCCGGAGCTACACCAACGACACTTTCTATCCCGGCACCCGAGGGACAGACTGGAACGGTAATCGTACAGACCACGGATGGCTTCACTGGCCCTGCCGCTGGTCCGTTCTCGACCATCACCGTTGGTGGTGGCCAGGGTGACAGCCCCGCGACTGTGACTATTCCTCCAGCCGCCGATGCGACGGACGGTGTCTTCACCGTTCTCGTTCAAAGCCTGGATCCTACTGCCTTTAATGGACCTTTCCGAACTATCACGGCCGGTGGCAACACCGGAGGATCACCAGTTACAATCACTGTTCCGCCCTCAGGCACCGGTCAGACTGGCACTGTTGTGGTCCAGCCTGCCATCACCTCCTTTACTGGCCCCTTTACGACAATTACGACTGATGGCAACACCGGGTCTCTTCCAGTCTCGCTCACCATCATCCCCGCCGGCAACCCGGCTCTGGGCACCGTGATTGTTCAGACTCCGTCAATCACTGCCCGGCCAGCCCTCTTCAGAACTCTGGCCGCGCTCCCGATCGCTGGTCTCGGTGCTACAATCACCTTGCCTTTGTTAGGTAACTCTGCTGCTGATCCCGGAACCATTGTTGTCGCCTTGGGTCTCGGTGGAGATGATCCAGCAACGACCGCACCGGCCGCTTTGGCTGCCAACCTTGTCACCATTCGAGGTGACTACAACGGCACGGATCCGTTGACTCTGACGCTCCCATCTCAGGGTGATAGCCCGGTTGCCACCGTCGTCGAGCAACTGCCTGTTGGCTTCAGCGCGGGAGTCACTGTTGGAGACCCTGCCGCAACTACGGCAGCAGTTCCTCCCATTACGAACGCTGCTACTCAAGCTACCGTTCCAAGCGTATCTGCCGCAAACCCAGTTTCGAACGGAGGAGTTCTCCCGCAGATCCTCACGAGTGGCTACTCTGGATCTGTGCCGACTACGGTCACGCTGCCTCCTCTTGGAACCCAGACAGCCTCGCAAGTCTTGGTCCTCACGCCATTGACCAACGCTGCCGGTTCCGCTGCGCCTGCTCCGGCCGGCTCTGCGGCAACTGTGGCTCCCAACGTGATTAACACCATCACCACTGGATTCGCGGGCTCTCAACGTACCACCGTCACCGTCCTTCCTGAGGGTCTTGCATCTACCGCGCCTGTAGTCTTGGTATTGACCCCCGATCCGGCTGCTGCGACCGCCGCGGCGTCCCAAGGGGCTCTGCCTGGTTCCTTCACCACCCTCACGGGACCAGCTGTTGGGTCAACTCCCACCACGCTGACCATTCCTCCCGTGGGAACCAACACCGTCGGTACCGTCGTGGTTCTGGGTGACCCCCTTGCCACTGCGACTGCTCAGTCAGGCCAGACTCAGTCCCAGGATCCTGGTACCACCGACGGAGTCCCATCCGGTCTCGCACCTGGAGCCCTGGGTGCCTTCACCACCATCCAGAGCGGGTTCAACGGTCTTCAGCCTTCGACCTTTACCGTTCCTCCTGCTGCCAGCGGCGCCCTTGGAACGGTTGTCGTCCTGACTCCTACTAACGCAGCTGCTCCTGAACTGACTCTCCCTGCCGGAGTGCCATTCGTAACGGTAACTACTGCTGGTGACGTCCCCGCTGTGCTAACAAACGTGTTGCTTCCCACGGGAACAAACACTCTAGGAACTGTTCTCGTCCAGACCCCTACTAACATTGCTGCCCCTCAACTTACCTTGCCAGCTGGTGTTCCGTTTACAACGGTGACGACTGCAGGCAATGTCCCCGCCGTGGAGACGAATGTGTTGCTGCCGACTGGCACAAACACTCTGGGGACGGTTCTTGTCCAGACCCCTGCCACTCCAGCTGCTTCTCAGTTGAACCTTCCCTCTGGTGTGCCCTTCGTGACGATCACGACGCCAGCTGATGTTCCCGCCGTGGAGACAAACGTATTGTTGCCATCGGGAACGAACACCGTCGGTACCGTTCTCGTCCAGGTGCCTTCGTCCTCGTTCACGGCTCTGCCAACCGGCGCTGCCACCGATCCAGGCGCAGTCAACTCTGGCTTGGTGCTCCCTGGACTCAGCATCCCGCCAATCTCTATTAACCTGCCCACTATCATTCTGTCTATCCCTAATTTGAGCCTGGGTTCCTTCATCACCTTGACCCAGGGTGGACCGGTAGCAACAACCGCCATTCTCCCTCCCTCCGGCACCAACTCCGTGGGCCTCGTCATTATCCAGACACCGACTGTCGCCGCGACTGCCGCTCCAGGCGCCGGTGTCTTCACGACTCTCTTCCAGGGCTTCTCCGGATCCGTCCCTCAGACTACGACCCTGGCACCGACGGGAACAAACACCCTCGGCGTCGTATTGATCCAGACGCCAACCGTCTCTGTGGAAGTCAACATTCTTCAGACCACTACGATTGGCTTCACCGGATCGCTCCCTACTACGGTCACCGTGCAGCCGTCTTCAGGTGGCTCTGGTCTCGTGGTCGTTCAGACCCCGTTTACAAACCCCTTGGTCTCTGCCACCAACGCGGCCAACAGCTTCATCACCACCACCCAGGGCTTCACTGGCATTGCGCCGACTACGATTACTTACTTCCCCGGTGGAACTGATACGGTTGGCACGGTGATTGTTCAGACGCCCATCTTCTCTGGAGGTGCTGTGGTCGTGCCATCCATCTCGTTGGCTCTGCCGAACATTCAGGTGACCGTCTCCATCGGCGGACCTGTTGCGGCGACATCTACCATCTTGCCTTCCGGCACCAACACTATCGGAACCGTGGTTGTTCAGACCCCTACCGCTCCTGGAGGCGCAACAAGCCCTCTCGTTAACCCAGCTGTCACCGCACCCGGCTTCGTGTCCGTTACCACTGGTTACACCGGAACCACGCCGACTACCTTTACCCTGCCGCCATCCGGAACCCAGCCTGGAGTCGTCGTCGTCCAGACTCCCACTTCTGGCGCTGCCGTGGCTCCCAACAGCTTCATCACGGCTGTTACCGGATTCACTGGCACCGAGCCGACAACGGTGACGATTCTCCCCACGGGAACCAACTCTGTTGGCATCGTTCTCATCCAGACCCCTACGAGAGTCAGCACCACTGTTCTCGTGAGCATCAGCGGCGACCCTCCTCCACCTACTGTCCCGAGTGGCTTCATTCTCACCACGACCGTTGGCACCGGCACCCTGCCCACCACGGTCACTTTCCCTCCCTCGGGCACCAACCCCGGCAGCGTAGTTGTCCAGGCTCCATCTGTTGGAACCGCGGCTCCTGGCGTCACCAATCCTTTGCCCAACGTTATCATCACGAGCGGGTTCCCTGGCTCTGCCACGTCTACTCTTACACTTACCCCCTCTTCGGCTGGTGATCCGACGACTTTGATCGTCCTGACGCCGACTACCGCTGCTGCTCCTTCGGCCACCGTTGCTCCAGCCTCGTTTATTACTCTCACGACTGGATTCTTCGGCTCTGGTGTGGCAACGACCACTTTGGCACCTGTGAATGCCGGTGATCCGGGAACTGTCATTATCCAGACGCCCCTTCCCACATCTGGCCTTTCGTTTCTTACTACCACCGTTGGCTACACGGGAGCTGTGCCGACTACCGCCACAGTCTTCCCCTCTGGAACCGAGACTGTTGGAGCCATCATTATCCAGACTCCCTTCACTCCTTCGTCCCCTGCGGTCACGAACGTTGCACCTACGCCCACGGCCCCTGGCTTGTCGTTCATCACCGTTCAGACTGGTTACTCTGGCACCGGTACTCAGATCACCACCATTCTGCCCACCGTTAGTGGCAGCGTTGGCCTTGTTCTTATTCAGACTCCCACCGTTGGTCAGGATCCTGCAACTTCAAGCCCTACGGTCAACCTCCCGACCACAGGACCAGCTGCGACGCCGACCGTCCAACCCGCGTCACTTGTGACTCTCATCAGCACTTACACTGGAGCGGTTCCGTCGACCACCACGCTTGCTCCCGCCGGCACTGATAGCCTGGGAACAGTCATTATTCTTCTTCCAAGCGCCACGGCAACCCCTGGAGTAACTCCTGGAACCACTCCCGGTGCCAACTTCGCGACGCTCATCAGCACCTACACCGGATCTGTGCCGTCGACCTCGACTATTCTCCCCACCGGAACCAACTCTCAGGGGACTTTTGTCGTCTTCGTTCCGAGCTCTACCATTGATCCCGGTACCCTCAGCGCCGGTGTTCCAGCCGTCACCTCCTCACCCGGTGCGGTCTTTGCCACTCTTACTTCAACTTACGCAGGCTCGGTCACTTCATTACAGACTGTGCTGCCATCGGGAACTGGCTCGACTGGCACTCTCGTCGTCCTCGTCCCAAGCAATGTCCTGGCTTCTCCCACTGCCACACCCGCCATTCCCCTCACCACAGTCACATCGACGTATGGCGGCTCCATCATTTCAACGGCGATCGCCTCGCCCGCAAACCCGGGAGACCCTGGCACTCTCATTGTCTTGGTTCCAAGCAACGTTGCCAGCTCGACCGGCGGCGCTGCTCCTGGTGTCGGCAACAACGTCCTCACAACGTTCCTGTCCACTTACACTGGCTCAGTTCCGTTGACTACCACCGTCGCCCCGGCAAACTCCAACGACCCTGGAACTGTCATTGTTCTCGTCCCGAGTGTGACTAGCGCAGCCGGTGCCGCAACACCCAGTGCCGGTGGTGTCATTACCAGCTTCTATAGTGGTTTGGTGCCTTCGACATCTGTGTTGCCCCCAGGTCCCTCTGGCGAGCCTGGTGCTACTGTCATCTTCCTTCCGAGCAGCACCGGCCTGCCAACCGCCGCTACAACGGCTTTGGCTGCCGGTCTCTACACGAGCACGTATGGAGGTTCGATCACTCTTACCTCTACGCTCCCCGTTGGTCCATCTGGACAGCCTGGCGCTACCGTTATCTTCGTTCCCAGCAACACTGCCGCGACCACTCCCGCGACCACTGCCTTGGCTGGAGTCCTCACTAGCTTCTACAGCGGACTGGTGCCATCCACTTCTGTCCTACCTGCTGGTCCTTCCGGCGAGCCGGGTGCTACCATCATCTTCCTCCCTAGCAACACGGCTACTCCGTCTGCTACGGTGCCGACTGCTGGTGGTTTGTTCACCAGCTTCTACGGCGGTTCCGTCACCCTCACGTCTACACTGCCCACCGGTCCCTTCGGCGAGCCAGGTGCGACTATCATTCTCATCCCGACTCCCACTGGTACACCCACCCCGGCTTTGCCGAATGTCTTGACTAGCACGTACGGAGGCTCCGTGACGTTGACCTCCGTCTTGCCTACCGGCACCAATGGAGACCCTGGACAGACAGTCATCTTCGTCCCGAGCAACACCGGCGCTCCTGGCGCCACTGGTGTACCATCGCTGCCCAATGTCTTTACCAGCACGTACGGCGGTTCAGTTACCCTGACCTCAGTCTTGCCGACTGGACCATCGGGTGAGCCGGCGCAAACCATCATCTTTGTGCCGAGTAGCACTGCCGCTCCGGGTTTGCCCAACATCCAGACCAGCACATATGCAGGCTCAGTAACCCTGACTTCAGTCGTTACGGACGGTGGTGTGAACGTGCCCCCACAGACCATTGTTTTTGTTCCGGGCGTGACCATTATTCCCAGCAACACCGGTCCTGCAGGACTTCCCAACGTCTTGACCAGCACCTATGGAGGATCAGTTACTCTTACTTCAGTCCTCCCCGTTGGCCCATCTGGAGATCCTGCCACCGTCATCTTTGTACCGAGCGCAACTGGCGTTCCTAGCAACATTGGTGCTGCAGGCCTTCCAAATGTTCTGACGAGTGTGTACGACGGCTCAGTCACCTTGACTTCCGTCATCTCCACTGGCTCTGCGGGAGACCCTGCGCAGACGATTATCTTCGTCCCCAGCCCTCCTGGTGTCACCAGCAATACTGGTGCCGCAGGACTTCCCAACATCCTGACAAGCACTTATGGAGGCTCGGTGACTTTAACTTCAGTCCTACCAGTTGGCCCATCTGGCGATCCTGCCACAGTCATCTTTGTGCCAGGTACTCCGGGCGTCACCAGTAACACTGGTGCTGCAGGTCTGCCCAATATTTTGACGAGCACTTATGGAGGCTCCGTTACTTTGACTTCAGTCTTGCCAGTCGGTCCTTCTGGAGACCCTGCTACTGTTATCTTCGTACCCGGAACACCTGGCATCACTAGCAACACGGGTGCTGCGGGTCTACCTAACATCCTCACAAGCACTTACGGAGGCTCACTCACCTTGACATCAGTCTTGCCAGTTGGTCCGTCTGGAGATCCTGCAACCGTCATCTTCGTGCCTGGCGTTCCAAGTGCCACTCCAAGTGTCACTGCGGCTCCCACATTGCCCAACGTTGTGACCCAGACTTACGGCGGCTCAGTCACGTTGACCACTGTTCTTCCTACAGGATCTGCGGGAGACCCCGGTGTGACTGTGATTTATGTTCCCTCTGCTCCAGGCGCCTCATCCGTCGATCCTACTCAGGCTCTCGGCAATGTGCTGACCAGCACGTACGACGGATCGATCACGCTTACGACTACCTTGCCAATTGGCCCGTCTGGAGACCCAGCGACTGTCGTCTTGGTCCCAAGCAACACTTTGGTACCGACCAGCACTGCAGCGGCAGGACTTCCCAACATCTTGACCCAGACCTACGGTGGATCCGTGACTTTGACATCAGTTCTTCCTACGGGCCCTTCGGGAGAGCCTGGCGCGACGGTTATCTTCGTCCCTGGTCTGTCAAGTGCGGCACCAACTGTTCCATCTGTCGGCGGCATTTTGACCAGCACATACGACGGCTCAGTCACTCTGACGACTACTCTGCCCATTGGCCCATCAGGCGATCCCGCAACCGTTGTATTGGTGCCGAGCAGCACGGGAGCTGCTGGACTTTCCAATATTCTTACTCAGACATACGGCGGTTCGGTGACTTTGACGACTGTCCTTCCTACGGGTCCCTCGGGAGAGCCTGGAGCGACAGTTATCTTCGTTCCAAGCGCCCCGATTGCCACACCGACGGTTGGCCCCGGAGGCATCTTGACCAGTACCTATGGTGGTTCAGTTACTTTGACGACGACTTTGCCCATAGGCCCATCAGGTGATCCTGCGACTGTCGTCTTGGTGCCGAGCAGCACCGGAGCCGCGGGTCTTCCCAACATCCTTACGCAGACGTACGGAGGTTCGGTTACACTCACCACTGTTCTGCCTACTGGTCCGTCCGGTGAGCCCGGCGCGACGGTCATCTTCGTGCCAAGTTCTCCGATCGCTACACCTACTATTGCTCCTGGTGGAGTATTGACTAGTGTCTACGATGGCTCAGTCACGTTGACATCGACCTTGCCCGTCGGCCCATCTGGCGAGCCTGGTGCTACTGTCATTTTGATCCCCACCAACACTGGGGTTCCATCATTGCCGAACGTATTCACTTCGACGTATGATGGCTCGGTCACTCTCACCACCACCCTCCCAATCGGACCTTCCGGAGATCCGGCAACGGTCATCCTGGTGCCGAGTCAGACTGCTGCCCCCGCTGTTCCAAGCAATCTCTTCACCAGCACCTACGATGGATCCATCACTTTGACCACGACCCTGCCCATCGGCACCGTCGTTCTGGTACCCAGTCAAACTACGGCCCCTGGTCTCCCCAACATTCTCACTTCTACATACGGAGGATCGGTTACTCTGACCACCACGTTGCCAGTTGGCCCTTCAGGAGACGTTGCCACGGTTATCCTCGTCCCAAGCCAGACTGGCGCTCCTGGTCTCCCGAATATCTTGACCTCGACATACGGTGGATCGGTTACCCTCACCACCACCTTGCCCGTCGGGCCTTCTGGAGATATCGCGACTGTCATCTTGGTTCCAAGCGTGACATCTGCTCCCGGCTTGCCGAACATCCTTACTTCTACGTATGGAGGATCAGTCACTCTCACAACTGTCCTTCCAGTTGGTCCTTCTGGCGATCCGGAGACTGTGGTCTTGGTACCAAGCCAGACCGGCGCTGGTGGTCTACCCAACATCTTGACGAGCACCTATGGTGGATCAGTCACGTTGACCACCACGCTTCCCGTCGGACCTTCAGGTGACATCGCAACAGTCATTCTGGTACCCAGCACAACTCCTGCTCCTGGCCTGCCAAATGTCCTGACAAGCACTTATGGTGGATCGATCACGTTGACCACGGCTCTGCCCGTCGGTCCGTCTGGAGATCCCGTCACGGTTATCCTTGTGCCGAGTCAGCCTGCGGCGCCTGGTCTGCCCAATGTGTTGACCAGCACCTATGGCGGCTCAGTCACTTTGACCACCACCTTGCCCGTCGGTCCCTCTGGTGACATCGCGACGGTGATTTTGCTTCCTAGCTCGACTGCTGCCCCCGGTCTCCCAAACATCTTGACGAGCACCTATGGAGGTTCTGTCACCTTGACCACAACCCTCCCGATTGGACCATCAGGCGACATCGCGACGGTGATTCTCGTCCCTGGTGGTCCCACTTCAACCGCTGCGCCTGGCTTGCCAAACATCCTCACCAGCACGTACGACGGTTCGGTTACTCTCACGACAACTCTGCCAATCGGCCCCTCGGGTGACCCGGCAACTGTTGTGTTGGTTCCCAGCACTGCTCCAAGCCAAACCGGCGCGCCTGGCTCCAATGTGTTGACGAGCGTCTATGGAGGCTCTGTGACTTTGACAACTGTCTTGACAATCGGACCTTCTGGGGACCCTGCCACAGTCGTCTTGGTCCCCAGCTCTGGCGCGAACAATGGTGGCCTTCCCAACGTGTTCACGAGCACCTATGGCGGCTCAGTTACTCTCACGACGACGCTGCCCATCGGGCCTTCCGGAGATCCAGCAACTGTCATTCTTGTTCCCAGCTCCGGCGCGAACAACGGTGGTGGTCTTCCCAACGTTTTCACAAGCACTTATGACGGTTCGGTTACCCTCACAACCACACTTCCTATTGGGCCCTCTGGAGATCCAGCAGAAGTCGTCTTGGTGCCCAGCTCTGGTTCCAACAATCCTGGTCTTCCTAGTGTTCTTACGAGCACTTATGACGGATCAGTCACTCTTACGACCACCCTTCCTGGTGGTCCTTCTGGTGATCCCGCCACGGTCGTGTTGGTTCCCAGCACTATTCCTTCCATTACGCCGGCACCCGGCCTACCCAATGCCCTTACAAGCACATACGGAGGTTCGGTCACTCTCACGACGGTTCTGCCTGTTGGACCTTCTGGCGATCCAGTAACTGTTGTTCTCGTCCCCGGCGCTGGTTCATCTGGTGCCGGTCTCCCCAATGTCTTCACAAGCACCTACGATGGTTCGGTCACTCTCACAACCACACTCCCCATTGGGCCATCGGGCGATCCGGCGACTGTCATTCTGGTCCCGAGCACGATTCCTTCCATCACGGCTGCTCCCGGCCTTCCCAACGTGCTTACGAGCACATACGGAGGCTCGGTTACTCTTACTACCGTCTTGCCTCTCGGCCCCTCTGGTGACCCGGCTACCATCATCCTGGTCCCGAGTGCTACTCCTACCATCACGCCTGCGCCTGGTCTCCCCAACGTGCTGACCAGCACGTATGGTGGTTCGGTCACTCTTACAACAGTTTTGCCTTTGGGACCATCTGGCGACCCAGCTACGATTATCTTAGTACCCAGCAGCGCTGTCCCTCCACTCATCGACATATCTCTTGGCATCAACCTTCCAGGTCTATTCACCAGTACTTATGGAGGTTCATCCACCATCACAACAGTCCTGCCAATTGGCCCGTCTGGAGATCCTGCCACCGTCATCCTGGTGCCTAGCACTCCTCCGCTTATCGACCTCTCAATTGGCATCAACCTGCCCAACCTGTTCACCAGCACGTACGGTGGTTCAGTCACCCTCACGACTACCCTTCCCATCGGACCGTCTGGTGATCCAGCAACAGTTATCCTGGTGCCCAGCAGCGCCCCTACAATCACTGCTGGACCTGGATCACCTAATATTCTGACGAGCACGTACGCTGGCTCTGTGACTTTGACAACTGTCTTGCCGGTTGGACCTTCTGGTGATCCCGCCACAATCATCCTTGTGCCCGGCGCCACCATCACGGACGCTTCAGCACTGCCTAATGTGCTTACAAGCACATACGCCGGCTCAGTCACTCTCACGACTGTACTTCCAATTGGTCCCTCTGGTGACCCAACAACGATTGTCTTGGTTCCTGGTGCTACTACGACTGATGCTCCGGGATTGCCCAACATTCTCACGAGCACATACGGCGGCTCCGTGACCCTTACAACTGTTCTTCCGGCTGGCCCCTCCGGCGACCCGGCGACGATTGTCTTGGTTCCCAGTGGCACCATCACTGATGCTCCGGGACTGCCCACTCTCCTCACAAGCACATATGGCGGCTCGGTCACTCTCACCACCGTGCTTCCGGCCGGTCCCTCCGGAGACCCGGCCACAATCGTCCTGGTTCCGGGTGCTTCCATCACGGACCCCCCCAGTCTGCCGAATGTCCTTACCAGCACCTATGCCGGCTCGGTTACTCTCACTACAGTGTTGCCCATCGGTCCTTCTGGTGATCCGGCAACAGTTGTTCTGGTGCCGTCTTCGGCTGGCGCTGGCTTGCCCAATATCCTTACCAGCACATACGACGGTTCGGTTACCCTCACAACTACTCTGCCAATTGGACCCTCGGGAGATCCTGCGACTGTTGTTCTAGTGCCTTCTTCAGTTGGCGCCGGTCTGCCCATCATTCTGACGAGCACCTATGATGGATCGGTTACTCTTACAACCATCTTGCCCATCGGCCCATCTGGCGACCCGGCCACGGTCATCCTCGTACCTGGCGCGAGCAACACTGGTGCGGCTGGTCTTCCGAACATCTTGACCAGCACTTACGATGGATCGGTTACACTTACCACTACTTTGCCCATTGGTCCCTCTGGTGACCCGGCAACTGTAGTCTTGGTGCCTTCGTCTGCGGTTGCCGGCCTTCCAAATATTCTCACGTCGACGTACGACGGCTCTGTCACCCTCACCACCACGCTTCCCATCGGTCCTTCAGGAGACCCGGCTACTGTCGTCCTCGTCCCGAGCATTGTCCCAAGTGTCACCGCACCTGGACTTCCCAACTTGCTTACTTCAACTTACGATGGCTCTGTCACTTTGACGACTATTTTACCTATCGGTCCCTCGGGTGACCCAGCAACGGTGATCCTGGTCCCAAGCGCTATCCCAAGTGTCACTGCGACTGGCCTTCCCAACGTCCTCACTTCCACGTACGATGGTTCCGTTACATTGACAACGACCTTACCCATTGGTCCCTCTGGCGATCCAGCAGAGGTGGTTCTTGTGCCGAGTGTTATCCCAAGTGTCACTGCACCAGGTCTTCCCAACCTTCTTACGTCCACGTACGATGGCTCAGTCACTCTCACCACTACCTTGCCCATTGGCCCCTCCGGCGACCCGGCTACTGTTGTCCTAGTGCCAAGTATCATCCCAAGCGCTACTGCGCCTGGTCTTCCCAACCTTCTTACGTCTACGTACGATGGCTCAGTCACAATCACGACGACGCTGCCAATTGGGCCATCTGGCGACCCAACAGCCGTCGTTTTGGTTCCAGGTGTCACGGCTCCAGCACTTCCCAACATACTGACAAGCACTTACGATGGCTCCGTTACCTTGACTACCACTCTGCCCATCGGACCTTCGGGAGATCCTGCAACCGTGGTCCTGGTACCAAGTGTTCCCGGCTCTCCAGCATTGCCCAATGTCCTGACCAGCACGTACGACGGATCTGTCACTCTTACAACCACCTTGCCTGCTGGACCAACACTTGTGCTGGTTCCAAGCGCCACCAATGTTGGAGGTGGTTTGTTCACGAGCACATACGACGGCTCAGTCACTCTTACATCTACGCTTCCTGCTGGTCCATCAGGCTTGCCTGGCGCCACCATCATCTTTGTTCCGACAATTTCCGTCGGTGGTCTTCCCAATCTCTTCACGAGCACTTATGATGGATCAGTCACTCTTACGACTACCCTTCCTGCCGGTCCCTCTGGTGAACCTGGTGCCACCGTCATCTTGGTTCCAACCATTTCAGTTGGCGGACTTCCCAACCTTTTCACCAGCACGTATGATGGCTCGGTAACCTTGACCACTACCCTCCCAGCTGGTCCATCTGGACAACCTGGGCCTACCGTGGTCTTGGTTCCAGGCTTGACATCTGTTCTGCCAACGCCGGCCTTGCCAAACTTGTTCACCAGCACGTACGATGGCTCCATCACTCTCACTACCACTTTGCCTGCCGGTCCCTCTGGCGAGCCTGGGCCGACGGTTGTCCTCGTTCCTGGCGCCACATCGGCGTTGCCTAATCTCTTTACCAGCACTTACGATGGATCTATCACGCTTACCACCACCCTTCCTGCCGGGCCATCAGGAGAGCCAGGACCTACCATTGTTCTGGTTCCGGGTCTCACATCCGCCTTGCCGACATCTGCTCTGCCAAACCTCTTCACCAGCACCTACGATGGCTCTGTCACCCTCACCACAACGCTCCCCGCTGGCCCGTCCGGCGATCCTGGTGCAACGATTGTGTTGGTCCCTGGCCTCACGAGTGCTTTGCCCAATCTCTTCACGAGCACGTACGATGGCTCCATTACGCTCACGACCACTCTTCCAGCTGGTCCATCTGGCGAGCCTGGCCCCACAGTCGTCTTGGTACCTGGGTTGACTTCGGCATTGCCCAACCTCTTCACCAGCACGTATGGCGGATCCATCACTCTGACCACGACGCTTCCAGCTGGCCCTTCGGGAGAACCTGGCCCAACCGTCGTCTTGATCCCTGGCGCTACTTCTGCACTGGGAAGCTTCTTGACCAGCACATATGACGGCTCAGTCACTCTAACGACCACTTTGCCTGTTGGACCTTCAGGCGAGCCTGGTTCGACTGTTGTCCTGGTGCCAAGTCTCACTGGCGCCATTACTACGCCTACTGCGGACTTGAACATATTGACGAGCACGTACGATGGGTCGATTACCCTCACCACGACTCTTCCTGCTGGTCCTTCGGGAGAGCCTGGCTCGACTGTCGTACTGGTACCAAGCGTCCCTGGTGCTTTGACTACCCCCACCGCGGCTCTGCCCAACATATTGACCAGCACTTACGACGGCTCGGTCACCTTGACCACCACTCTGCCAGCAGGACCCTCGGGACAGCCTGGAGATGTCGTCGTTCTTGTACCAAGCTCTGCCCTTGGCGCTTCGCCTGGTCAGTTCATCACGCTCACCAGCGGTTACTCTGGCAACGTGCCCTCAACCTCGACCATTCTGCCTACGGGCACCGAGACTATTGGCGCTATCGTCATTTTGGTACCCACGAGTAGTGCAGGCATCAGCTTCACCACCATTACGAGCTCTTACTCGGGTGCTATCCCGTCCGCGACCACCATCTTCCCGACTGGATCGGACACCGAGGGAACCATCATCATCTTGAACCCCATCACGATAGACACCCCGGGCATCACCATCACGAGACCCTACACCGGTACCGAGACCTTGACCTCCACGATTCCGCCAGCCGTCTCTGGAGATCCTGCAACTGTCATCGTACTGGATCCCGCTCTGCTCCTTACGACCTCCAACGCTGGCTCCTTCACCACGATCACAAGCGGATATGACGGCTCCGTCATTGCCACGTCCACCATTCCGGCGGTCGGCACCGATGGACTCGGAACAGTCATCATTCTGGAGCCAACGGGCACCGCCGTGCCGAGCGTCACCGTGTCATACACGACCATCATTAGCACGTACGCGGGCTCGTTGCTGGCGACCTCGACTCTGGCCCCTGCTGGCACCGATGCTGTTGGCACCGTCATCCTGCTGGTGCCCAGCTCGAGCGTCCAGATTCCTGGTGTCTCTTCTTACACTACGGTCACCAGCACGTACACTGGATTGTTGCCGTCCTTCTCCACACAGGCTCCCTCGGGAACTGGCACTGTCGGCACCATCATCTTCTTCGAGCCCGAGGCCACCGCAACGTCAGATGTGCCCTTCACCACCATCTTCAGTGGATACGATGGTTCCATCATTCAGACTTCTACCATTGCACCTGGTGCGCCTGGCCAGACTGGCACTGTTGTCATTCTCCAGCCCAGCTCAGTTCTCACCGCGCTGCCCACATCGTCTGTCAACTCTGATGGCATCAGCTACACCACAATCTTTAGCACGTACACGGGCGATATTCCTCTCACGTCGACTCTTGCTCCGGCGAGCGGCGACCCTGCCAACATCGGCACCGTCATCGTCCAGTTGCCCAATGTCCTGGCCACTTCCAGCCCGACCATCAGCGTCAGCATCACGTACACGACGATTGTCAGCTTCTTCTCGGGATCTGCTCCGATCACCACTACGATCGATCCCGCCGCGGGAGGCAGCATCGGCACTGTTGTTGTCCAGGTTCCTCTTACCACCTCGGATCTCTTGGCTTCGCCTGGCATCTTCTACACGACCATCGTGAGCAGCTACCCGGGGTCGGTCACTTTGACGACCACTATTCCTCCTGCCGCCACGGATCCCGCCGGCCTCGCAACTGGAACGGTTGTTATCCAAGTTCCCGACTCTCAAGCTACCGGTACCAGCTCATCTGGCGGTGCTTTGGCGGCCTCGTTCACCACCATCTTCAGCAACTACCCAGGATCCATTACGCTGACCACGACTCTGCCCCCTGCTGCTACAGACCCAGCTGGTCTCGGCACGGTCATCGTTCAGATTCCGGATACTGGAGTCATCCCGACCGTCACCAGCGCCTTGGCTGCGTCTTTCATCACGATCTTCAGCACCTATTCTGGATCCGTCACTTTGGCAACCACTTTGCCTCCTGCTGCTACCGACCCTGCGGGTCTCGGCACCGTAATTATCCAGATTCCCGACACTGGAATCATTCCTACGGCCACGAGTGCTTTGGGTGCGTTGTTCACCACGGTGTTCAGCACATACCCTGGCTCGGTCACTTTGACGTCTACTATTCCCGCCGTGGATCCCACAGGTCTGGGAACAGTTGTCATTCAGGTTCCTGACATTCTGGATACCTCGAGCCTTCCCACCGGCAGCCTCACTGTCTCACCGGGCAGCTTCTTCACGACGCTCTTGAGCACCTATGATGGCTCAGTCACCTTGACCACCACGATTCCCCCTGCGGCGACGGACCCTTCTGGACTTGCCACCGTCATTATTCAGGTTCCCAGCAACGTTCTCAATACGAACAGCACCTCCTACACCACGGTCACCAGCGCATACACCGGACTCATTCCTCAGACCGCCACTGTGGCCCCCGGCGCTCCTGGCGATCTTGGAACTGTCATCGTCCAGGTTCCTTCCAGCTCTATCAACGTGGAAGCCATTTCTTACGTGACTATCACGAGCGGCGGCTTCACTGGCCTGGCTCCGTTGACATCCACCATCCCTCCGGCCAACCCCGGAGACCCCGGCACTGTTGTCATTCAAGTTCCAAGTGCCACGAGCGCTCTTGGAGCCGCGTATACCACCATCACCAGCGGCTACCCTGGGTCTGTACTCGCAACCGAGACTGGCATCCTCACCGGAGTCGATGGCCTCGTTACTGTGGTCGTTCTTTCACCGACCGGAACCGCCGCTTCCTTGCCCACCATCACGGGAAGCCCTGGCTTGTTCATCACGCTCACCACGGGTTACGATGGCTCTGTCATCGCTACCTCCACTGGTTCAGTCACTGGTGTCGATGGTCTTGTCACCGTCGTCGTTCAGACTCCCACCAATGCGGTTACGTCCCCCACGGCCACCGTTCCTGGTCTCTCGTACACCACAGTCACCAGCGGATACGGAGGATCTCTCCTCCAGACTCTTATTGGAACCCAGACTGGAGCCGATGGGCTGGCCACGGTTGTCATCCAGACGCCCACGATTGCCATCACTTCGCCGACTGCCACGATTCCAGGCCTTTCGTACACTACCGTGACAAGTGGCTACGGCGGCTCGCTTCTCCAGACTCTCATTGGAACGCAGACTGGCGCAGACGGCTTGGCGACGGTTGTCATTCAAACTCCTACCCTGGGAATCACTTCCAGACCGTCCATCTCGGCTCCGGCCTCATACACCACAGTCACCAGTGGCTATGGCGGCTCATTCATCCAGACTCTCATCGGATCGCTCCCCGGCATCGACGGCTACATTACCGTGGAGGTCAACATCCCCACTGGCACGGCTTCCCTGCCCACCACATTGCCGGGTGTTTCCTACACGACTGTCACGAGTGGCTACGATGGCTCGCTCCTTCAAACGCTCATCGGCTCGGTCACCGGCGCAGATGGACTTGCCACCGTTGTGGTCCAGGTTCCAACTGCCACGGCTACGACCACACCCGCAATCTCAGTTGCTCAGTCCATCATCTCGTACATCACTGTCACGACTGGATACTCTGGTGCCTCAACTCTCTTCCAGACGCTCGCTCCCGCGGCCTCTGGTCTGCCAGGCACCGTCTTCATCCAAGTCCCGACTGCCGTGCCTTCAAGCACGCCTTCGCTCACCATCTCGGACGTCACTTCGTACACGACCATTACGTCTTTCATCACGGCCTCCGTCACTCAGATCTCGACCCTCGTTCCCTCAAGAAGCGGAGATGTGGTCACTGTTCTTCTTGGTGTTCCTCGTCGGTTGGTGCTCTCCACGATCACAATCCCTGGTCTCAGCGTCACTGCCACCTCAACTCTGCCGATGGGCTCCGATGGTGTCCAGACAATCATGATCCAACTCCCGGGTGCGGCCACGGCATCTCCCACGATTGGAGGCATCACGACCGTCTTCAGCACATACAGCGGATCCGTCACTCTTGTTCAGACCGAGACTCCCGCGCAGCCCGGAGACCCGACCACGGTCCTCGTCAACATCCCCGGCATCTTTGCCGAGGTCACTTCCACTCGCTTCGGCGCACCATCTGCCGGCACCATCACGATCGCTCCAGCCGGCACCGGCCTTCCAGCGACGGTCATCATCGACCTTCCCAATATCTTCCAAACCGTCACGAGCGGCTACTCTGGTCTTGTTCCGGCAACGACCACCATTCTGCCATCGGACCCTACCGGAGTTGGTCTGGTCATCATCCAGACTCCGACCATCTCCAGCGGCTTGCCGTCGATTACGCCCTCCACGGTCTTCACCACCGCACCTGGAACCGGCTCGCTTCTGGCTACTGCCACGATCACCGGCTCTGATGGAGTCGTGTCCGTCATTGTGCAGACCCCAACGGCACTTGGACAGATCCTCTCTACGATCTTCACCACTCAGCCGGGCACTGGAGTCTTGCCTGCGACTACCACCGTCACCGGCCCCGATGGAATCGTCTCTGTCATTCTGCAGACTCCTACCCTCCCCTCGGGAGCTGCACCGACGACGGTCTTCACCACACTGCCCGGAAGCGCTGCCCTGCCAGCGACTACCACAATCACGGGAGCAGATGGAGTCGTCTCCGTCATCTTCCTGGAGCCTACAACCTCGGGTCAGAGTCCCGTGGTTCCTACTACGGTCTTCACTACGATTGTGGGAACCGGCGCTCTCCCAACCACTACCACGGCCAGCGGCCTCGGTGGAATCGTCTCCGTCATCGTCGAGCTCCCAAGCACGACTCTGCCCCCAGGAGTCACTCCTTCGACCATCTTCACCTCGGTTCCAGGCACCGGAGCTCTTCCGGCCACGGCAACCGTCACTGGACTGGATGGCATCGTCTCAGTTATTATCTCCGAACCCACGTCAAGCTTGGCTGGCATCTTTACCACCATCACCACGGGAGGACCGGTTGCTGCGACCAGCACCATTCTGCCCAACATCATTGGCGGCGGCGTTGGCACAGTCGTCGTCCAGACACCGACTCTCACCGCCAGCCCCGGAGCCTTCTTCACGACTCTCACGTCTGGTGGTCCAGTCGCTTCCACTTTCACGATCCCGGCCGCTGATTCAACCGCTCTTGGAACCGTCATCATCCAGACACCCACTGTCAGCCCGGGAGCCTTCTTCACCACTGTCACCTCTGGTGGCCCAGTCGCGTCGACGTTTACCATCCCGGCCGCCGACCCTACAGGACTCGGAACAGTGGTTATCCAGACCCCGACTGCCCTCCTCGCGTCTTACACGACTCTCACCATCACCGGCTCTATTGCCACGACGTTTTCAATTCCACCCGTGGGTTCTGGCATCGGAAGCGTCATTGTGCAGGTCCCCGAGACCACCGGCACCTCCGCCCCGCTGCCATCCGTCACCTACACCACAGTCACCTCCATTGGAAGCCCCACGACCTTCACAGTTCAGCCGGCTTCTCTCGGTGACCCAGGAACGGTTGTGGTCCAGCAACCTACCATCACGTCTGCTCCCACTTCCATCCTCAGCCGTGACCTCACAACCATCTTCTCTCCCTACACCGGAACGACAAGAATCACCACCACAATTTTGGTCAGCATCAGCGGCGATCCCACTCTGCCCAACACGGTCATTGTCTACGTTCCCCTCACGGAGACGAGCAGTTCCGTTGCCACGCCCACCATCACCAGCGGCATCTCGTACATCACTCTCATCACGGGCGTCCCTGGTACCTTCATCGGCACTCAGACGACTACCCTTCCCGCCGGCAACGATGGATCTGCCACCGTGCTCATCCAGACTGCCCTTCCTCTGGCCACTTCCAGCCCCAGCGTCACTGTCTCGTACACGACAATCCTCACGGGCATCATCGGCACTTTTGCTGGTCTTCAGACATCCACTCTTCCAGCAGGACCCGATGGATTGGCAACTGTTCTCGTCCAGAGCGCTATCCCGTCTGCTGGTGTATCTTTTACTACGGTCTTGACCGGTGTTCCTGGCACGTTCCTCGGAACCCAAGCGACGACTTTGCCTGTGGGCACCAACGGTATTGCAACTGTCCTTCTTCAGACTGCTCTGCCCACCGCAAGCCCGGTCTCGTACACCACCATCTTCTCTGGCGTGCCCGGAACTTTCGTGGGTCCTCAAACCACGACCTTGCCCGCAGGCCCCGATGGCCTCGCTACTGTCGTTGTTCAGAGCGCCCTTCCCACGTCAGGTGTTTCTTACACAACTGTCTTCACCGGCGTCCCTGGCACATTTATCGGAGCTCAGACAACTACATTGCCTGCCGGTCCCAGTGGTCTCGTCACCGTGCTTGTCCAGAGTGCGATCCTGTCGGCGAGCGCCTCATACACGACCTTGCTTACCGGCATCCCTGGAACTTTCTTGGGGTCCCAGACCAGCACTCTTCCAGTTGGGCCTGATGGAGTCGCTACAGTCATTATCCAAACGGCACTGCCCACTGGCGTTCCGACATCCTACACAACTCTGTTCTCTGGCATTCCCGGCACATTCATCGCGCCGCTTACAACCACCTTGCCAGCTGGACTTGACGGTATCGCGACCGTGGTCATTCAAACCGCGCTTCCAACTGCGACGGCAAGCCCTACATCGTACACGACCGTACTCACTGGTGTTCCAGGTACCTTCATTGGCGCTCAAACAAGCACCTTGCCTGTTGGATCCGATGGCATCGCAACAGTGGTCATTCAGACTGCTCTACCCACTGGCAATCCAACGTCGTACACAACTCTGTTCTCTGGTATTCCCGGCACATTCACGGCGCCTTTGACGACAACTCTGCCGGCCGGAACCGACGGCATTGCGACTGTGGTAATTCAAACAGCACTCCCGACAGCCAGCCCGCTTTCCTACACTACGGTGTTCAGCGGAGTTCCTGGCACTTTCTTGGGAGCCCAGACAACCACCCTTCCCGTTGGCTCTGGCGGCCTGGCTACGGTTCTCATCCAGACAGCTTTGCCAACATCGAGCCCTCTGTCATACACAACGGTGCTCACTGGCGTGCCGGGAAGTTTCCTCGGGGCGCAGACTTCCACTTTGCCTGCTGGTACCAACGGAATCGCGACTGTGGTTATCCAGACTGCTCTCCCAACAGCCAGCCCTTTGTCATACACCACTCTGTTCACGGGAATCCCAGGAACCTTCTTGGGCTCGCAGACTTCAACCCTTCCTGCTGGCCCCGATGGTCTCGCAACCGTTGTCATCCAGAGCGCCTTGCCAACCGGCAGCCCAGTTTCATACACCACATTGCTCACTGGCATCCCGGGCACATTCTTGGGCTCACAGACGACTACGTTGCCTGCTGGCCTCGATGGACTTGCAACGGTCATTGTTCAGACTGCTCTGCCTACAGCAAGCCCCGTCTCATACACGACCTTGCTTACCGGAGTACCAGGCACCTTTTTGGGCGCGCAGACATCAACGCTGCCGGCCGGTTCCAATGGTATTGCCACCGTCATCATTCAGACTGCCGTTCCTACAGTCCAAGCCGCGTCATATGTCACCATCGTTACGGGCATCCCGGGCACCTTTATTGGCACCTTGGCCTCAACACTCCCCGCGGGAACCAACGGCGTTGGCACCGTCATCCTCCAGACTGCCGTTCCCACGCCGACTTCGAGCAGCGCTGGTGTCACTTACACCACAATCTTGACTGGAGTCCCCGGTATCTTCACAGGTACCCAGACGACTACGCTGCCCATCGTCACCGGAACTGTTGGCACTGTTCTCCTAGAGACCGCACTCGCAACTGCAAGCCCAGTGCGCTCCTACGTCACTTTGTTAACTGGCATTCCGGGAACGTTCATCGGTACGCAGGCTACTACACTGCCGATCGGCACTGGCAGCATCGGAACTGTTCTCCTGCAGACGGCTCTTCCTTCTGCCACTTCGTCGCCCACAAGCAGCGTCAGCATCGCGTACATCACCATTGTCACCGGTATCTTGGGCAGCTTCACTGGCACTCAGACAAGCACCCTGCCCATCCCGTCCATCGGAATCGGCATCGGCATCACGGCCACCGTCGTCTTGCAGACCGCCATTCCCACATCGGCTGTGCAATCGTACACGACCATCGTCTCGGGCGTTCCCGGCAGCTTCACCGGCACCCAAACCACTACCCTCCCTGGTATCGGATTGGACGGTCTGGCTACCGTTGTTCTTCAGACTGCCCTTCCCGCGGCCACCTCATACACAACCGTCATCACGGGTGTTCCGGGATCATTCACTGGTACTCAGACGTCGACTCTGCCTGGCATTGGAACCAATGGCCTCGGCACCGTTGTCTTACAAACGGCCGTCCCCTCGACGACTGCGGCTTCGTATACCACAATCATCACGGGTATCCCGGGTACCTTCATCGGCACGCAGACTTCCACCCTTCCTGGTACCGGCACCGACGGCCTTGGAACAGTTGTTCTCCAGACTGCTCTTCCCGCTGCCACTTCGTACACCACGATCTTCAGTGGAATCGTTGGAACCTTTACAGGAACTCAGACAACCACCCTACCTGGCACTGGAGTCGACGGCCTCGGAACTGTCGTTCTGCAGACTGCAATCCCCACTACGAGCCTGTCGTACACCACCTTGGTTACCGGCATCGCTGGAAGCTTTATCGGCACCCAGACCAGCACTTTGCCTGTTGTCGGATCCAACGGACTGGCGACTGTCGTCCTTCAGACTGCACTTCCCGCCATCTCCTACACCACGCTTCTCACAGGAATTCCTGGCAACTTTGCTGGATCTCAGACGACCACTCTTCCCGTCGTCGGCACGGGCAATGTCGCGACCGTTCTCATCCAAACTGCTCTCCCATCGGTCAGCAGCACATCTTCAAGCTCTTCGGTCATTGTGATCAACACTTCCTACGTCACCATTGTCACTGGTATCTTTGGCACATTCGCAGGAACCCAGACAACCACCTTGCCAGCCGCCGCCACGGCCCCTGGACTCGTCACTGTCGTCCTCCAGACGGCCATCCCGAGCCCCGGCACGACTTCGTACACCACGATCCTCACTGGTGTCACCGGAACCAGCTTCCCTGGTACGAGGGCAACCACTTTGCCTGTCGTCGGCACCCTTGGAACTGTCCTTTTGGAGACGGCTATCCCGGATGTCCCGGCAACTTCCTACACGACGATTCTCACTGGCATCGCTGGCGAGACTTTCGTCGGCACCCGTGCCACCACTCTTCCGGTTACGGGAAGCATTGGTACTGTCTTGTTGGAGACGGCCATCCCAGCCGCCACCTCCTACATCACGATTCCCACTGGAGTTGCTGGCGCCACATTCACAGGAATCCAGCTGTCTACCCTCCCAGTCACGGGAACCATCGGCACTGTACTCCAACAAACAGCTCTGCCAGCCGCTACTTCATACATCACAATTCCCACGGGAGTCATTGGGGCCACCTTCACAGGCATCCAGCTTTCTACTTTGCCCGTCACCGGCACCATCGGTACAGTGCTTCAACAGACTGCTCTTCCGGCTGTTACGTCGTACACTACGATCCCGACTGGAGTTATTGGTGCCACCTTCACCGGCATCCAACTCTCCACGTTGCCGGTTACTGGAACCATCGGCACCGTGCTTCAACTGACAGCCCTTCCGGCAGCGACTTCGTACATTACGATTCCTACTGGCATTGCTGGAGCCACATTCACGGGTATTCAACTTTCGACTTTGCCCGTCACTGGTACCATTGGCACCGTGCTGCAACAGACCGCTCTCCCTGCCGCCACTTCGTACATTACGATCCCGACAGGAATCTTGGGGGCTACGTTCCTCGGAACGCAACTCTCTACCCTTCCTGTTACTGGCACGATTGGAACTGTTCTGCAACAAACCGCCATTCCTCTCGTCACATCATATGTCACGATTCCCACGGGAGTGTTGGGAGCCACGTTCCTCGGAACCCAACTTTCCACTCTTCCAGTCACCGGCACTATCGGAACTGTTCTTCAGCAGACTGCCATTCCCAACCCAGTCACCTCCTACATCACCATCCCGACTGGAGTTTTGGGGGCCACGTTCCTCGGCACCCAGCTCTCTACCCTTCCCGTCACTGGCACAATCGGAACTGTTCTTCAGCAGACTGCTATCCCCAACCCGGTCACTTCGTACATTACCATCCCAACCGGCGTCCTGGGAGCCACGTTCTTGGGAACGCAACTCTCGACCCTGCCGCTCACGGGTACACTTGGTACGGCTCTTCAGCAAACCGCCATTCCCAACCCCGTCACCTCGTACACCACGGTGGTCACTGGAGTCTCTGGCACCTTCAGCGGTACACAGACGACAACCTTACCGTTCACTGGAACCATCGGAACTGTCTTGCTCGAGACCGCTGTGCCACCGGCAGCCGTTACCTCGTACACGACAATCTTCACCGGTGTTACGGGAACTTTCAGCGGCGTCCAGACGACTACTCCTCCTTTCACCGGTTCTATCGGCACTGTCTTGATCCAGTCGGCCTTGCCTGTCGCACCCGTAACTTCCTACACGACGATTCTCACTGGCATTGCAGGAAACTTTGCCGGCCTCCAGACAACCACTCTGCCATTTACTGGCACCATTGGAACCGTCCTGGTTCAGTCAGCTCTACCCGCTGCCACATCGTACACGACAATTCCGACAGGCATCGCCGGCACCTTTATCGGTACCTCGACCATTACCCTGCCGGCCACTGGCACCTTGGGCACCGTCTTGTTGCAGACTGCCATTCCTCCCTTGTCCACGGGATACACCACCATCTTGTCTGGCATCGTCGGCACCTTCACAGGCACCCAGACCACGACTCTTCCAGTCACTGGAACCCTTGGCACTGTTGTCCTCCAGACAGCCGTACCCCCAGCCACGTCCTACACGACCATCGTCACCGGCGTCTTTGGAACCTTCCTTGGAACTTCAGCAACCACCCTGCCGGCGACCGGAACGATCGGTACGGTGCTCCTTCAGACCGCAATCCCGATCTCGTACACGACTCTCCTCACCGGAGTCGCGGGCAACTTCCTCGGCACCCAGACGTCGACGATCCAAGCCGTCAGTGGTCTCGGAACCGTTCTGCTCCAGACCGCCTTGCCCACTGGATACCTCACCGTCACCAGTGGCATCACCGGCAGCTTCACCGGCACTCAGACAACCACCTTGCCGGCTGTTGGAGGAGGCCTCGGAACCGTGGTCCTCCAGACTGCCATTCCCAGCTCGGTCATTGTCTCTTACACGACCATCATCACTGGCGTCATTGGTACTTTCACCGGTACTTCTGTGACCACCCTGCCGGCCACCGGAAGCGTTGGCACCGTGTTATTGGAGACGGCCATCCGGCCTATTTCCTACGTCACCGTCACCAGCGGAGTCAGCGGCACATTTGTCGGCACGTCTACCGTTACTCTGCCCACCACCGGCGCTGGACAGAGCATCGGGACGGTCGTGCTTCAGACCGCCCTGCCCAACATCTTCTTCACGACCATCACCAGTGGGGTTGTGGGCAGCTTCACCGGTACCCAGACCGTCACCCTCCCGACCACCGGAGCCGGACAGAGCATCGCAACTGTTGTACTTCAGACTGCCATCCCGGCCATCTCGTACGTCACCATCCCGACTGGGGTCACTGGCACGTTTACGGGCACTTCGACAGTTACTTTGCCCACGACCGGGCCAGGCCAGACTGTTGGCACCGTTTATCTGGAGACTGCCCTTCCAGTCATTTCTTACGTGACGATCCCCACTGGAGCGACCGGAACCTTTACAGGAACCCGTCTCAGCACCCTTCCGGTCACGGGCACCGTTGGTACCGTGCTTGCCCAGACCGCCCTCCCGGTCATCTCGTACCTTACGATTCCCACTGGTATTACTGGAACCTTTGCGGGTACGCAACTTTCAACTTTGCCAGTCACCGGAACTATAGGAACCGTCTTGGCGCAGACCGCTCTCCCAGTCATCTCCTACGTCACCGTCCCGACGGGAGTTACTGGCAGTTTCACAGGCACGCAATTCTCAACATTGCCAGCAGTGGGAAGCGTGGCCACAGTATTGGCACAGACGGCTCTTCCAGTTATCTCGTACGCGACCGTCCCGACTGGCGTTACCGGCACGTTTACAGGCACCCGCTTGTCGACGTTGCCGGCCGTTGGAAGTGTGGCTACCGTACTGGCGCAGACTGCTCTTCCAGTTGTCTCGTACGTGACTGTTCCAACAGGAATCACGGGCACCTTTACCGGCACGCAGTTCTCAACCCTCCCGGCTGTTGGAAGCGTCGCCACTGTTCTCGCCCAGACAGCCTTGCCTGTGGTATCGTATGTTACGGTGCCCACGGGAGTCACTGGCACCTTTACCGGAACCCAGCTCTCGACCCTCCCCGCTGTCGGCAGTGTGGCCACGGTATTGGCCCAAACAGCATTGCCCGTCGTTTCCTATGTTACTGT